AATTTGGGAGCAACAACATCTATGGGGTCTCTATACTCAGCACCAGGTTGCATTTCCCTTTGCTTAGGTCATCACGTGTTTATCTGCAATGTGTTCTAGACTTTGGTGTCCAAGGCTGTCCATTTTGCCGATTTACATTTCATGATGTCTAATCCTACCTTATTTTTTTTAAAGATTTATTTATTTATTTATACAAGCACTGGGTACAGTCAGAAGCGCGGGAGGGTGAGAAAATTCACCAGAGCCAGACCGGGGAGCAGAGCAGGCAGAAGGACCGAAGTACACTGCTGAGGGGAGCAGCAGGCGCAGCAGAAGAGGTCTGTCACGCCATGTGGGACCAGGGATCGAACTGGCGCTGCAGAGGCTGCAGGCAGCTTCACAGGCCAGCGCTCAACCGCTGTGCTGCCGGGGAGGCCCTCTTATCCTACTTTAAACTGCACTGTTTTCAGCTCAAGTTTCAGGCCGTTGTTGCTGGTACACGAAGTGTAATTTCCTTTTGCCTGTTGATCTTGACTCCTGAGATCTTGCTGATCTCACTTAATTTTAGGAGCATTTTCTGATGGGTAGAATTGTCTGAATAGACTCAAGGTGTGTGAATAAAGGCAGTTCTACTCCCTTTCCAATAGGGAGAACTTCCCCCCTCTGCTGCCCTGGGGAACCCATCAGTGCTAGACTGAAGATCCCTGCATTCAAACCCCAGCATCACTTGCAGCCTGCATGCCCTGCCTTGCCATGGGGCCCCTCTGCCAAGCCAGGCCGGACCCACAGCTGCTGGGCGGTCAGGAGCCCAGAGGCCAAGCCACCTCCTGCAAGTGGCAGAGGGCTATTCACTGCGCAGACAGCCAGGGCGGGATTTCGGGCTGGAGGGAGGGGGGCTGCTGGGGCAAGGAGGTGGGGGCACAGCGCTGGTGTGGTCCAGAGGTGACTGGTCTTCTCGGCGCCTAAAAGCAAGCTGTCGGCGGGGAACGAGGTGACGCAGAGACTCGACTGTGGCCACTTTACCCTGCGTTATGGAAGGTGAACATGGGTAAAGATAGGCCCCCCTTGGGCATGGGGAAGGGTGGGAAAGCAGAGGGGACCGCCCAGAAGGGTGTCTGCCAGGCCAGGCTGGCAGTGTGGCGTGTGACCCAGCAGAATTGACATGGGACATGAGGAGGGTGGCATGTCAGTTTAGAAGACTCTTGAGGGGTCGTCCCTGAAAGTCCCCTTTAAAGAGTCCCCCGAACCCCCCCCCCCCCGCTGTACCTCCCCACTGCGGGCCTGGCCAGCATCTCCCCTGCCCCATGACCTGGGGGATGGACCTTTATGAGGTCAGGGAGGGCCTTGCTGAGCAAACAAAGCCCAAGGGCGGAGCCCCTCACTGTCCAGGGCTGTACATAGAGAGGACGCCCAGGGGCCGGGGGGAGGCCCAGAGCAGACCCAGCGATGGCCAGAGCGAGCAGAGGGCCGCGCGCTCCCCGCGCTGCGAGGAAGCCCCGCCCGGGGCCGGCCAAGGCCCGGAGGAGGAGAAGGGCCCGCCGCCAGCCCCCGCGCCCACGCTCACCCAGGGGCAAGGCGAGCGGACCCCACCCCAGCCCCAGCCCCGCGCGCCGCCTGCCCCTGCCCTGCCCGGCCCGACCCGGCCCTGCTCTGCCCTGTCCAACCCCTGCCCGGTCCACCCCTTGCCCGGTCCACCCCTGCCCTGCCCCGCCCCGCAGCGCGTCCCGGGGCTCACCCGTGGTCTCCGCAGGGCGCCGAGAAGACCGGGGTCCTGCAGACGCCCCTTCCCGGGGCCCCAAGCAGGAAGGCCCGGGAGGACGCCCCGGGCCCCTCCGCGAGAACCCAGGAGGCCAGGCCCGCGCCAAGGCCCAGGCCCGAGTCCCGGCGGGAGCCGGGCCCCGACTCCCACAGCGACTAGAAGGGCGCTGCGGCCCGGGAGCCCCGAGGGCCATGGCCACGCGCCCCCGGGCCCCTGTCGCTCCAGAGTCCGAGCCCCGAGCGAGCGCCCTGCCCCGCGCAGCTCTGGGGACGAGCACAATAAAGTACCCGCCGTGGCACCTGCGTGTCTGCCGTGGTCTGACCGGGGGAGGGAGGCCGGCGCGGGGTGCGGGGTGCGGGGGGCGGGAGGGAGGGGGCGTCCTGGGGCGCTGGAGGTCAGACCAGAAGGTCCACGGTGGCCCCGACGCTGAGATGAGGACCGCGTGAGGCCGGAGCACTGGAGACAAAGGCCCCTTGGAGGGCAGGCGGGGAACGCTGTGTGTCCGGGGCGTGTGCAGGGGTGGGGGCCTCGCTGGGAGAGGCCGGGGCTGGCACGGCGCCCCCGAGAGACACAGAGTCATGGCTCCTGCACGCTGACCTCACAGTGGCGCCTGCCACACCCACCCCACCCTGTCAGCCCTTGAGGGTCCCCACGAGCAGGGAACCTCACCTTGCGAGAGCCCGCGAGGGCTCTGGAACTCTCCGGGAGTGCTGCTCGCACTCCCAGCCCGAGCAGAGCGGGCCAGGCTCCTGCGAAGAAAGGGAGGAGCCGGCTCCCGCCTGGGCGGCTGTGGCTCAGCCCAGGGGAGGCCCGAGGGGGCGGCACCCGCACAGTCATTTACTGCCACCTGCAACTGGGAGACAGGCTAGACTGCCACGCAGGGGTAGCAAAGGGTGCACAGAGCCCCTCCGTGCCCTTGGCCCAGCTCTCCCTGAAGCGGCAAACATCGCGCCAACCCGAGGCGCCGCGGCACAACGGAGATGGGGCTCTGGGGCGGCCAAGGTCCAGACCATTCTACCCCACACAGAGAGCACACCGTGCCCGGTCACAGACCCATCTGCCCGCACCCACCCGCCCCACTCAGTCCTGGCCACCACTGGTCGGGTCCTCATTTGCACAAACTGGCCGTTTCCTGGAAGCTCTACAGGTGGACTCCTGTGGCATGTGCGCCTCGGGGCCGGGCTTCCTTTGCACATAACTGTCCCGAGTCTCATCTAGGTCCTTGCGTGTCTCAGAGGTCAACGGTTTAATGGCTCAGTTGTGCCGCAAACCGTGGCGGCGTCACTGAGCAATGGGCTTCTTAGAGTACCGAGAGGGGACACCGCGGCCCCCCCAAACTTGCACACTCTCAGCGGGCTCCGCCATGTGCTGCGGCCATGCAAAGCATTCTCCCAGAGGGACGGCGCTTCAGCAGCACAGAGCACACAGAGACAGGAGAGGGCAATACCTTCCGGGTGAAACACCCCGGCACCCATCCCCTCGGGGGTAAGTGCCCAGCCGAGCAGGGTTGGCCCAAAGCAGGGCCGCTGAGGTCGGAAAGCCGCCACACGTGCATGGTGCCTTCTGGCGGGACCCACAGGACGGGACAGAACGGGCCAGGCACGTCTGGGACAGAAGGAGCAGAGCCAAACCTGTCTACCTGGCGGACAGCAGGAGGGCGGTGACATCACCCCGGGCGTGCACCGCAGCGCATGTGTGTATTTGAGGCTCAGCTCTTCAGCCACCATCACTGCGAGGCCATCAGGCGTCCAAAGTCGGGGCGTCTGCTGCTGAGGAGCCCCGGGGTGGGGCTCCTGCTCCGACGGCGCCCACCGTCCCGGCAGCCCCACCCGCGCCGTCCTGGGAGCAGCCTCTGCGGGGGCGAGGGAGTGAGGACTGGGGCTGCCGCCGCCCAGGGACCCACAGAACCCAGCTGCGCCCCATAACGGCTCTGAGGGGCCGGGGCGAGCGGTCTGAGGGATCACCCCCACCTGCTCAGAGGATTCGGGAGTCGGTCCTGGTCTGAGGGGCGCACGGTAAGGTCGGCGAACGCAGTACTGCCCCTGTGAGGATCGGAGGGAGGGTGGAAAGGGCCAGAGATGTGCCCCCATGAAACCTCCTGTGGGATCTGGACAGGGGGGCAGGGTTAGCACCCAGATTACCCTAACATGGGCCTGCTGGTTGTCGTCCTGGGCGTGATCCTCCTGGATGGCGACTGCGCCTCTAAGGAGCACATGTGGGAAGCTCTGAGTGTGATGAGGGTGTGTGTGGGGAGAGAGAACTTCATCTTCGGGGAGCCCAAGGAGCTCCTCAACAAAATGTGGGTGCAGGAGCAGTACCAGGAGTACCAAGAGGTGCACGGCAGTGATCCTACCCGCTACGATTTCCTGCGGGCCCTAGGGCTCACGCCACCAAGAGATGGAAGTCCTGGCACGGTTCCTCAAGATCAATACCTTAAATTCCAGTTCCTTCCTCTGCCTCAAGAGGCTGTGAGAGAAGGAAAGAAAGAAAGAAAGAAAGAAAGAAAGAGAGAAAGAGAGAAAGAGAGAAAGAGAGAAGAAGAAAGAGAGAAAAGAGAGAAAGAGAGAAAGAGAGAAAGAGAGAAAGAGAGAAGAGAGAAAGAGAGAAAGAGAGAAAGAGAAAGAAAGAAAAGAAAGAAAGAAAGAAAGAAAGAAAGAAAGAAAGAAAGAAAGAAAGAAAGAAAGAAAGAAAGAAAGAAAAGAGGCTGTGAGCAAGGAGCAGGAGGAGGCCTGAGCCAGGGGGGCAGAGGGAGCCAGGGATCTATGGGGGCCAGGGAGAGTTGGGGCACACGGTGCACAGATCCTCGCGTTCCCCCCCTCTGTGGTGACAGGAAATGGATGTCTGTTTTCTTTAGGAATTTTTCAGCTGTTGTTCCTTGGAGGAAGGTTTATTAGCTTCAGCGTCTCTGCTGTGAACGACCCTGATCACACGAGCTTGTGCTCCCCTGGTCTGAGGAGCGCACGGTCAGGTGGGCGAAGGCAGGACCTGCCCCTGTGAGGATCGGAGGGAGGACGAAGAGGCCAGATGCCCCCCCCATGAAACCTCCCGAGGGACCCGGACAGGGGGCAGGGTTAGCACCCAGCTCACCCCAGGCATCTCGGGGAGTTGGAGCCTTGGTTTCCGGGGTGCAGGCTCAAGTGTGCCAAGAGCCAGGCCGGCCCTGCCTGAGCCAAGGTGAGGGCCAGAACAGGGATGGAGAGACACCCCCCCACCCGGGATCTATCTCCGCCGCTCACGACACCCTTGCGGGGGGGCCCCCAGAAGCGCGCACCGGATGTGACGTCCACCGACTTCCGCTCGAGATTGAGGTGAGGGCCTGGGCCTGAGGGGCGCGCACTCACGTCGGCGGAGGGACAGCTCGGGCGTGCCTGAGTGAGGTGAGGCTCGGAGGGAGGGCCTAGGGCGCCCAGAGATGCTCCCCGGGAAATCCCTGAGGGACCCCGCAGGCTGGTCCCGGAGACCCCCCCCACCTCAGGGAACTTGGGGAGTCACAGCCTCGGTTTGAGGGGCGCAGGCTCAGGGCCGCGGAGGGAGAACCGGGTCCTGCCTGAGCGAGGTGGGACAGGGACATGCTACTGAGGGGCCCCGGACCCCGGAGCAGAGTCAGTCCTGGAGGCCCCAGGGCGGGGAGGGCGCGTGGCCTCCCCACTACCACAGCCGAGTCTGAGAGAAACCGGGGGGCGAGGGTTTTTTTTTTTTGGGGGGAGCAGGGACTCAGGTCCTGTCAGGAGGCAAGGGGTGGACCTTGAGGGTGGATTGAGGGACCCTGGACCCGAGAACCGAGGGGACCCTACAAAACCTTGCCAATGCTCAGAACTGGCTGTGAGGATTGGCCTGCAGGAGCGCATGGCGTCCAGACCACCACACCGGACTCTGAGTGAAACCAGGGGCTTTGCATGAGGAGCAGGGACTCAGTTCTGCAAAGGGAGGGTCCAGGTCCTGTCAGGAGGCAAAGTGAGAACCCTGAGGGACCCTGAACCTTGGAACTGAAGGAACCCTACAAAAGCTCGCCAGTGATTTTGAACGGGGGTGGGGGCGGGAGGACCACGTGGCGGCATGACTCCCGCATTCAGCTGTGAGAGACACTGGGTCTTGGTGTAAGGAGCAGGGTCTCAGTTCAGCAACGGGCGCGCTTAGGTTTTGTCAGGTTGCAAGGTGAGGACCTTGAGGGAGGATTGAGGGACCCTGTAACCTAGGACAGTGGGGAGCCCACAAAAGCTCGCCAGTGCTCAGAAGTGGGGGCGGGGGCGGGAGGACCACGTGGCGTCTTGACTTCCGTGTTGGCGTGTGCGAGAAACTGGGGTGCTCTGTATAAGGAGCAGGGTCTCAGGTCGGCAAGGGGAGGGCCCAGGTCTGTCAGGAGGCAAGGTGAGGACCTTGAGGAACCCTGAACCCTAGAACTGGGGGAACCCCACAAAAGCTCGCCAATGCTTCAGAATGAGGGGGGGGTAGAGGGAGGACCACGTGGCGTCTTGATTTCCGTGTTGGCGTGTGCGAGAAACTGGGGCCTCGATGTAAGTTTCAGGGTCTCAGGTTGGCAGAGGGAGGATCCAGTATCAAGTGAAAATCTTGAGGGAGAACTGAGGTGCAGTGGACCCCAGAACAGAATAAACCCTGGAGGCCCCAGGACGGGAATCGTGTGGTGGGGGGGTCCTGACTACTACAGCCGAGTCTGAGAGAAACCCCCCGGGGCCTGTGTGTAAGGAGCAGGGACACAGGTCCACAAAGGGAGGGTCCAGGTCCTGTCAGGAGGCAAAGTGAGAACCCTGAGGGACCCTGAACCCTGGAACTGAAGGAACCCTACAAAAGCTCGCCAGTGTTTTTGAACGGGGGTGGGGAGGGAGGAGCATGTGGCGTCCTGACTTCTGTGTTCCAGTGTGAGAGAAACTGGGCCTTGATATAAGGAGCAGGGACACAGGTCGGCAACAGGTGGGCCCAGGGCCTGTCAGGAGGCAAGGGGAGACTCCTGCGGGACCCTGAACCCTAGAAGTGAAGGAGCCCCATAAAAGCTCGCCAATGCTTCAAAACTGGGCCGGGGGGAGGAGGGCTGACTGCGCAGCATCCTGACTTTTGCCTCCTCGTCTGGCAGAAACTGGGGAGTTGTTATAAGGAGTAGGGCGCCAGGTCAGCAGAGGGACCGCCCAGGTCCTGCCAGAAATGAAGTGATGGCCTTTATGGAGGACTTCGATCCAGTGGACCCCAGAACAGAGTCCGTCCTGGAGGCCTCAGGGCGGGAGGACCCCCTGACGTCCAGTCTGCATCCGAGTTTGAGGGAAATGCGGGGTTTTGGTGAAGGGGCCGGGACTAGGGTCGGCAGAGGGAGACCCCAGGTCCAGTCACGAGTCAAGGCGAGACCCCTGAGAGAAGACTGAGGGACCCTGAACCCTAGAATTGAGGAGCCTCCACAAAAGCTCCTCGGCGGTCAGACCTGGGCGGTGGGGCAGAGAACCGACCACGTGGCGCCCTGACCTCCGCATCCATGTCTGAGAGAAACTGGGACCTTGGATCGGTAGCAGCCACGGGTCAGCAGAGAGAGCGCCGAGGTCATGTGGGAAGTGGCAGCGGGACTGAAGGAGTACGAGGAACCCTGCGCCTTAAAAATGCGGGGACCCTCTGAAGCTTGCCAATTCCGCCAGACCTCGGGGAGGGGGAGGGGTGAGCACTCGGGGTCCTGACTGCAGCATCCAGGTCTGTGAGGAGCAAGCTCCGGTCCGCAGAGAGGGCTCAGATCTGGTGAGCGCCAAGGTGGAGACCCCGAGTGAGGACTGCGTGTCCCAGGAATGCAGATGGGTGGGGGGCTCCAGAACAGACAGACACCGCAGAAGACGCCGCTGCTGTCAGGCCTGAGCTGCCCCAGGGCCAGAGGACCCCGTGTAGTGTTCCCTGACCAAAGCATTGGGTCTGAGGCTGGGGACTTTATAGAAGGAGCCAGGCATCACCTGGCCGAAGGACGCCCAGGTCCTGACAGGAAGCACGGTGAGGACCCTGACGGAGGGCAAAGGGGGCGGGCCCTGGGAGGCAGTGGACTGCTTGTCCACTCGGTGTCTGGTGGATTCAGCCTGGTCATCCTGAGGGAGGTGTGACTGAGGGAATCGTCCACCGCAGAACTGATGGGGCTCGGGCCCTGCTGTCAGTCTTGTGATAACCTGGGCAGGGGAGGCACGTGGGGTTCCTGCTCACATTTTTCTCCCAGCTCTCAGGGAGGTGAGGTACATACTCTTGGAGGAAAACACCCCATCAGTAAGTGAGCCGCATCTGGTGAGCAGGGATAGGAGTCCCAGGACCTGCAGAGAGTGAGGACTGAAGGGACCCCACCGCAGGACAGAGAGGTGCCCCAGTTTAAGCCTTTTCTGATCATGGGTGTGGTGGGCAGGGCCCTCAGGGAGGAAAGCACCCTGTCTGACATGATGTAAGAAGGTCATCCAGGGAGCCACCCTTATTTATGAGCTTGTCACCTGCGAGAGGAATCCCAGGTCCTTCCAGGAGTCCATATCAGGACCCTGGGATTGTCAATTCTCAGGACAAAGAGGGGGTCCAGGGAAATTTGGACTCTGCCCTCATTTCAGCCCTGGGAATACCAGGGCAGGGCTATCAGTTCGGGCCCTCCTCACTTCTAGATCCGAGGTCAGGAAGGAAGGCCTTGGTCTGAGGGTCTGGACTTGGGTCAGCTGAGGGATCCCAGGTCCTGGCAGGGTTCCACGTGAGGCGCCAGCACTGTCCCCATTCAGGACCCTGGAAGCCCAGGGCCGGTGTGGCCAGATGTGGGGCCCTTGTTGCTTCTGTTCCATCTCAGGAGTGTGGTCCTGTTCTCAGGGTTTTACCTCAGGCCCTCAGAGGAATGGCAGAAGAAAGATGAGGATACTGAGCGAGCATGAAGGAGACATCTCACCAGGAGGAAGGAGAGCCCATAGTTCTGGCACCACCCCAGAGTCAGCCCAGAACCTCAGGATGTGGAACCTGTACCCTGAAGGGCAGTGTCACCTCCTTCAGGCTCCTGGGGAACATTCCCAGAAGGACAGAACCTGTAAGACAAAGAGCACCTCTAATCAGGGACAAAGAGCACCTCTAATCAGCACCTCCACTCTGTCGGAGTCACCGAGGGTGCTTTTCTCAGCGGAGGCGGCTCACACTCACTCTCCTTCAGACTCTTGGGTCCTACCTGCCGGCTTTTGCTGACACTTCTTCCAACTCTCCACAGGTGTCATCATGTCTCTGTGCCAGAAGAGTGAGCTCTTGAATCTCGAGGAAGATATTCAGGAACCAAGAGAGGATGGTTCTTTCCTCCAGGTACCAGGAGATGATGGGTAGGTCAGATCCTCTTCCTCTTCCTCTACCTCCCCTTCCCCCTTGTCTTTCTCCAGGTCATGTCTGAGGAGGACGCCAGTGCTCCCAGTATCCCTCCTGGTGCCAACTCCTCCCCCAGAGCCATGGCTGCCTCACTGTGCAGCAGATCCGAGGCGGGTAACACCAGCAACCGGGAAGCAGAGGGACCGGGCAGCTCCCGGGAGCCAGCGCAAGCCCAGGCCCCCCCCCCAGCAGCACTGCAGGGGAAGATGGCTGCGTTGGTGGAGTTCCTGCTCCTCAAGTATCGTGCCAAGGAGCCGACCAGCAAGGCCGAGATGCTGAGGGAAGTCCTCGGTGATAACCAGGAGCACTTCTCTGGCATCTTCAGTGAAGCCTGCGATTGCCTACAGCTGGTCTTCGGCATCGATGTGACCGAAGCAGAGCCCAATGGCGACACCTATGTCCTGGCCGCCACCCTGGGCCTCTCCTACGATGGGCTGCTGAGCCCTGAGCAGCTCATACCCAAGACGGGCCTGCTGGTTGTCGTCCTGGGCGTGATCCTCTTGGATGGCGACCGCGCCTCTGAGGAGCACATGTGGGAAGCTCTGGGGGCGATGGGAGTGCATGCCGGGATGGAGCACTTCATCTTTGGGGAGCCCAGGGCGCTCCTCACGGAAGCATGGGTGCAGGAGCAGTACCTGGAGTACTGTCAGGTGCCCGGCAGTGATCCCGCCCGCTACGAGTTCCTGTGGGGCCCCAGGGCTCTTGCTGAGACCAGCAAGATGGACGTCCTGGATTTTATACTCAAGGTCAATAGGCGGCAACGCACTGGCTTCCTCGCTTTCTGAAGAGGTTGTGAGCAAGGAGGCCTGAGCCCGGGGGGCAGGGAGAGTTGGGGCACACGGTGCACAGATCCTCGCGTTCCCCCCTCTGTGGTGACAGGAAATGGATGTCTGTTTTCTTTAGGAATTTTTCAGCTGTTGTTCCTTGGAGGAAGGTTTATTAGCTTCAGCGTCTCTGCTGTGAACGACCCTGATCACACGAGCTTGTGCTCCCCCGGTCCGAGAGGACGCGCGTGACTGTTAGTTGGATGATGTTGTGGTGATTTCACTGGAGCAGGGAGCCGTGGGAGTGGGGCGCGCCTTGGCGGTGAAATGGTGGCATCGGAAGTTAGACAAGGAGAAGACACTGAGCATGTGGTTTGTACCCCTTCGCCGCTTACTCTGTAAAATAAAAAGCAGATGTGTCTGTGCTTTGCTCGGGTCATTCAAGAGGGAGAGATGAACGTGGTAAAGAAGCCCCTGCCCGTGGCCGGTCCTGCCCACGCCGGCCCCGAGCCTCTGCCCCTTGGAAGCACTAGGAACGTGGAAGGTCCTGGGGGGACACGAGGCGCACTGCACCCCACAGAGGGCAGGTGTAGGAGCTGCCGTCACAGGAGCAGGGTGGTGAGACGTCCCCCAAGAGACAGAGGCAGGAGGGCAGGGGCGGGGTCCCTGGGGAAAGAAGTCAGGGTAAAGGCCCCTCCCGGGGCAGCTTGTGCCTTGGGGCCTGCAGTCCTGTGGGGTGACTTGTCATGTGCGGGTGACTGCCATCATATGGGGGCGGGAGGCAGAGTCAGGTTTCCTTAGGGGAGAGAAACGCCTGGAATGGAAACATGATGGAAGCTGCCGCTCTTGTTGCAACCTGGGTCCACAGAGGGAGTCTCCCGTGTTGCTCTGGAAGGTGCGCAGGGCTCTTGTGGACACCGGAGAACGGGGGTTCTGTTGTAAACACTGTGTGCCCGACAGGATGAAATGAATTAAAATACTGCCTGGGAGCCAGAGAAGCTGCACAGAGCAGTGGAGTTGGTCTCTGGCATTCTGCAGGCTCTAGTTACACCCTGCTGGGGATGTGCCCCCGAATCCCCTAACATTGAATCATAAGTCCTCCAGGAGAGAAAGGCAGAGGTGATACTTCATTCAGTTTCTGAGTGAGCCGCAAATTCTCAGATCTCTGGAAACAATCATTTGCACAGGCCAGTGGTGGCGGCTGGGGCGCAGCACCACCAGACGCCTCCAGCAGTCACTGAGGTCCCTGGCCGTAGGGCGGGGGCCAGGTGTCTTCAGGCATCTCATGCTTTCCCGCAGGCCCGCACATGGTCAGACCCAAATCTGCCGTTCTGCAGCAGGAGCCAGAACACCTGTTGAAAATAAACTTCTTTCCAGGGCGCTGATTTTATAGTCACAGTTCCCTGAACTTGTCGCCGTGTTGGCTTGAGCTGTTCGAGGCTTTACTACCTGGAAGGGGAGGGCCGGTCCTCTTCTCTTGGTCGGGCCTGGGAAACTGAGGCCTCGTGTGAATGGTGTCCAGTGGAAGGCAGGCAGGTTGAACGCTGAGGGCCTGTTTCCAGGTAATGCCAGGCACAGTGGCATTGGGGTCTGGGTCATTGTGGGGGCTATCCAGGGCCCTGGAGTCTATCTTGGGTGAGCAACACCTTGGCCCCTTGGGCAGACCGTTGCATATTGGACATTACTGTCGAGCACATCTGCCCCAGCTAGACAAGCGCCCGGGGGGAACCATTGCACACGGGTTTAAGTTGAAGTGGTTTTCCAGCAGCAGCCCTTCTGTGGGACTCAAGATCAGCCAAACAGAGCCCCACCGGACGCTGGCCGTGCCTGTGACTGGGTGCGTGAATGGGTACGATTAGCCTCTTCCATGGGGACACTAGCTCTCTGCTCATCTGCCATTCACAGGGCGTGTGCCATTGTGGCAGTAGCACCACAAGCGATGGGGCCCAGGATTCAGGAACAGAGGCCACTGTCAGTCACGCCCAGAGGCCAGGCTCTGGCCTTTGACAAGACACGAAGGCCTTTCTGAAAGAGGGGATGGATTGTCCAAGGGTTGCAATGGAATGCACAAGCTGAGCCCCCACCAGGAACCTGCTTGTGCTGGGGCTTGGGGGTGCATTCCTCTCGCCCCACCCCCAGGAAGAGCTGCCTGAGCGAGGGCCACGCCAGGAGAGAAGCAGAGGCCACGCACATGTTTGTGCAGCAGACAACGGCTGTTTCCAGCACTTTTTATTGACGGCGCTCGGATGGCCGCGACCGCCGTCATCTGGGGTCATCGGCACGGTCCGCGGGCCCGTGGGGAGGCGGACGGTATGCGGGGAAATAACGGGGGCTGGGCCAGCAGAATGGACTCGGCAGATGAGGCACCGCCAAGCCGGGGCCGGCGGGCCCAGGAGACATGATAGGCATGGAGCCCAAGGGGTGGCACCACGTCAGCACGCTGGCCGTGGAGAGCTGAGAGGTGGGCGCGCTGAGGCCTCTGGGACGTCCCCCGGCCAGGCTCCCCACGGGCCAGTAAGGGCTGCTCTGCGGGGCGGGCAAGGTAAAGGGGACGAAGGGGCGCAGGTACAAAGGGGCGGCCTGTGCCCCAGCGGGCCGGGACCCCCGGCGCCCTGGTACTGGCCGGAGGCCCACGGGCCCACTGCAGCGATGGGCCGGGCGGCGGGCTGGGCCGGCCTCCCGGCAGCGGTCGGCAGGACGGGGTCCCTGCGGGCCGGGGCGGCAGCCGCGTCCAGTGGCAGCTCGGCGCGGGCGGGCGTCTGCAGACCTGCCGTCCGGGAGCCCGCGGCTTCGGGCCGCGCGGTGGCTGAGGTGGCGGCCAGGGCGAGCGGCGGGGCCTGCGGCGCGCCCTCCCTCTGCTTGAGCGCAGCCCGGCTGCGGGTCCTCCTCTGCATGCGCGCCAGGAGCTGGGGGCTGTCTCTCCGGAACAAGAGGCTGCAGTAGAACTGTAGCTGCGAGGCAGGGCGCCCCGGGGAGAAGAAACCGCCAGTCACACACCCGCGGCTGCCCCAGCCCCCGGCCTCTGGGCCCCTCGCTGCAGCCGGGGAAGCTGTCCCCTCCTCTGCCGCCTCCAGGTGCCCTAACTCGGGCCTCGCCCTTTCTCCTGGAAGGACAGACGGCCGGTGACGGGCCGCCCGGGGCGGAGGCGAGTCCGGAGAAAGGGGCTTGGCGGCGGCACGGGCAGAGGAGACGGGGCCCTCCCAGGCGGTGTCAGGCGGCCACCGCGGCAGGCACCCCTGGCCTCGAGTCACTGGCCCTGGGCCACCGGGGCCCTCCAGCTTGGGCGGCGGCCCGGGCACCCCACCTTCCACAGCTCCTGGGGCTCCCCCACGACTAGCCAGGGGACACATGGTCTCACAGGAGGGGACCTGGGGCTCCAGAGCCCCGGCTGTCCTCGGTCACCGAAAGCCCAGGGCACGTCTGTCCCCCAGCCGGACACCGGGACGCGGCGCGTGAAGGGCAGCCTGTCTTCCTGGAGACGCCATGGACGCGCGGGCTGTGCCGGTGGCGGGGCGTGGGTGACTCGCCTCCCACGGGCCCTGAAGCAGCAGCCCCGCAGCACACTCCCCCGGGGCCACGCGCGACGCTCGCACCCCCCAGCGCGCCTCCTGGAGGGGGGCCTCCCGCGCCCGTGGGCCTCCCTCCACAGCGGGCCCGTCCGCGCGGCCAGCGGCACTCAGGCTCCTGCTGGCACCGGGCGCCAGGCCCCACCGTGCCCTCAGGGAGCTCTAGTCACTCTCGGGGCGTCGGGAACTGGCACCCCGAGCCCCCGGTCCCAAGAGGGCTCCTGGCATCCCCTCCCCCGCCTCTCCCCCCCAGCCTACCTGCCACCCAGGCCCCCAGCTGAGCCCCTGCTCCTTCACCTTGCTCGGCTCATGGGAGGGCGCCTCCTCTGTGGAAACGTGGTCCAGGCAGACGGGGGTGGACTCGTCCTGCCATATTTTGCTGAACCCGTAGAGGTTCAGCTGGCGGAGGAAGCTCTTCATGCAGTCGGTCTCAAACACCTTGCTGGGCCCTTGCCTGTCCAGGATCTCCTTCTCGAACAGCTTCTGGTTGATGACAATGCAGGTCCCGCTGCTGTGCCAGCGGATGGACTCAAACTGAGGGCTGCTGACAATTTCCCACAGCTTTCGCGGGAAGGGCAGGGAGAGGAGCGAGCCCTGGGCCTCCGACAGCGTGACGCAGGCGGCCCGTGGCCGCTTGCACCCAGGCCGCGGGGTCACCAGCTGGGAGGCAACTGCCCCTGGCGGCGGGCCACCCTCAGGCCCCCCAGCCAGGGCCAGCTGGCGCCGGATGAGCGAGGGGTCCGGTGCAGTGGCTCCCCTCCACAGGCCAGGAGGGGCTGCCCTGGGCTCTGGGGGCAGAGGCCTCCATCCCAGGCCAGGGCTCTGGCCTCTGGGGGGGGTCTTCTCTGCCGCCATTCGGGCGGTGGCCGCCCTTCCTCCTTGTCCACGCGAGAGCCGGCGTGGCCAGTGCCACCCGCGCTGACAGTGCAGCGGCCACGGACGTCACACAGGGGCTCTGGTCCCAGGGGCTGACATCACAACGCCGCCAGCTGGTGAGGTCACAGAGGGCCCACAGAGGCCAGCCCTCTCAGTGACCCGTCGGGCCAGGCCACTTCTGACCCCGCAAGGTCGCTTCCCTGGCAACCATGACACTGCTGCAGGCCTTAAGGTCACATGCCCAGCACGGGGATGGGCTGGGGACCCTCGACTCTCTCGTCCTGAGGCCCCCACTGAGCTGCTGACCCCGGGCCACGCCCACCGTCAGTCCTTCGGCCTGGAGGGCCCAGACAAGACGGTGAGGCTTTTAGAATTGACGTCCAGGGCAGGGCGCGGGTGGCCACCTTTCCTGGGGACCCCCCCAACCAGAGAAGCTATGGCCCTGGCTCCCCCCCCCCTCCATTCCTGTCAGGCCTGTTCTGGCCAAGGGCTTGCCCTTGGAAGTGAGGGAGGTCTGAGGCTCTGAACAATCTCCAATGGGCGGTGGGGGGGTGCGGGCGGGAGGGGATGCTGAGCACGCCTCCCGAGTGTGCTGTGGGCGTGCATTGCTACCTGCAGGTGGTAGTGCCACCTTCATTTCAGGGTCAAGCCCTGACAGTGGGATGACTGGCATCTCAGCTGCAGGCCCGGCAGAATTTTTCTTGCCATGTTCTCTGGACAAGGGCAACAAAAAAGATAAACTCATGCCATTTGCAGCAACATGGATGGCGCTGGAAGGGATCATGCTCAGCGAAATAAACCAGAAAGAAAAAGGAAATACCGGATAATCTCACTCATAGCAGGAATCTAGACAACCTAAATAAGGGGCCAGGAAAAGGACTAATTATAATAAAGTAAAATTCAAAATCAACAAGCAACTATAAACCAGAGACACGCTACGGGGGGGTGGGGGGGCGGGGAGGAGGGATTAGGGTCAAAATAAGGGGGGTGGGAATTGTATGGGGAATATAACCAAGATGAAAACGCATACATTGTGCAAAAATAAAAAATGATGTAAAAAATAAATGAAATAAAATAAAAAATAAAGCATGTTCATGGGAAAAAAAAAAAAAAAGAATGCCTGTTTGGAGGCCGCGTGGCACTTTCTGTGAACTCAGACTGTCCTGAGAGAAACATCCCTGCGTCGGGGTCCACGCTCAAGGGCGCAGTGAGACCGTCCTCTTGGCACCCCTGGAGCCAGGGAGCTGAATCCCCCAGAGAACCCTGAGGCCCCTGCTGTCCTCCGAGGGTGGAGGGCCCACTGCTCAGAGTGGCCGCTGAGCTCCTGCGCCACGGGGCTGAGCAGCCTCAGGAGGAGGGGTGGCTTCTGGCTGCCTCTGGAGCCGCAGAGGCCTCGGACAGGGACACACCCGCAGGCACCTGCGTCCTCTCTAGGGGCCACCTGCCACTTGCCGTCATAGGCGCCCCTTTTCTAAGCCGTGTGCACAGATGGAACTGGCCTGGGCCCCGCGATCCTGCCTTCGGGGTGCAGGGCAGCTGTCAGTCTGTTTGGTGTTCCTTATGGGTTATTCTTTTTTCTCTTGATATTTTTTAATATTGTCAATCTCATTATTTCCCAACAGCTTTATTATTATGCATCTTGGTGCATGTCTGGCAGGTATTATTTTGTTTGGAACTCTTTGGGCCTCTTGGATCACAACTTCTGGTTCATTTCAAGATTGAGACAGTTTTCAGTAATTATTTCTTTTAATAGGTTTTCTATCCCTTTCTCTTTTGTCTTCTGGGATACTCAAGATTGGATAGTATTCTGTGTAAGCTGTCCCAGAGATATGTTACACTTTTTTCATTTTTTAATTGTCTTTTCTCTACCTTGTTCTTTTATGTTGCTCATCAGCCTCTTTTTTTTTAAGCCCTTTTGTTCTCTCCATTGCTTCTGTGTGTCTGCTGTTGAGGCCCTCAACTGTATTTTTCAAATCGGCTATACCGTTTCTTAACTCTATTACTTTGGAATGTAGCTGCCTCATGTCCTTAACTTTCTCCCCTTCCATTTTTATCATCTATTTTTTTTAAGTTCCCAGGGGCTTGAAAATTTAAGCAACAATATATATAATCATTGTACTGAATTATAAGCAACGGAATAAAGAATTTCAGTCTTCTAATTTTTTAACATGACACTCTCTCTTCACTTATTTTGGTCTTTAATTTTCTGAGCAATGTTTTTTAGTTTTAACAGAGGTCTTGAGAAGGTGAAGACTGTGTATGCCCCCCTCTCAGAAAACACTGGAGCACCTGAAGTCAGCTGTCTGGCTGTCCCATCTCAGCCTGGGAAGCCCTGGTCAGCGGTGGTCCAAGTGCAGGCTCCCATGGGCCACAGGCAAGAAGGTAGGGAAGCCGCAGGGAGTGAGCTCTTGCTCTGAGGGGATGTCAGCTCATTAGAGGTGGGGCAGGAGGCTGGGAAGGCCTGGTGGGAGTAAAGAGGACTACCCCACAGCAGGACTGAGGGGACCCCATGCCAGGACAGAGGGGCTACCCTGCTGATAGTCTATTCTGATCACGGGTGGGGTGGATGTGGCGCCTCCACATTTCCTCAGGACCTCAGGAGGAGAGGAGCTAGGTCCGACATGACAATGTCAGGTCATTGAGGGGGCCACATCTGGTCACCAGAGAGCAGAGCCCCAAGACCTGCCAGGACTGACAAAAGGACCCTCACGAGCACAGGGCAACAGTGGTTACCTCCACCAGCCCATGTTCCCAGCCTCCCTTGATCCCAGCCCTGGAAGGCAGGAGTAGCCACTGTGGCCTTGTCGTGCATCTGTCCCAGCAGGAGAGTTCTCACTGAGGTCAGATCGGCGGGGTCAGGCCAGGTGGCCTACTGAGACTGAATTCCACAAAACTCTGGAATCTTACCAGGAGGGGGACATGTTCACTTGAATTAAAAAAAAACCAAACTGCCACCGGTGATAGCATGGATGACCTTGAGGACATTATGTTAAATGAAATAAGTCAGACAGACCAAGTAAATTCTGTATATCACATATGTAGAATCCAAAAAAGCCAAACTCCGGGCCTCCCCGGTGGTGCAGCGGTGGAGCGCTGGGTTGCAAAGCTGCCTGCGGCCTCTGCGGCGCCGGTTCGATCCCCGGCTGCTCCCTGGCCACTGGAGGAGGGTCCCACATGGCGCGCAGACCTCTCCTGCCGCCCGCTGCTCCCCTCAGCAGTGTACTTCGGTCCTTCTGCCTGCTCTGCTCCCCGCTCTGGCTCTGGTGAATTCTCTCGCCCTCCCGCGCTTCTGACTGTACCCAGTGCATGTATAAGCAAAACAAACAAACAAATAAATAAATAAATAAAACATGCCTCTATAAAAAAAAAAACAAAACAAAAAAACAAAAAAGCCAAACTCCTACAAAGAGAGAGTAGTGTGGTGTCCAAGGGCGGGGATGGGGGATGGGGAGTTGTGGTAACACTATCAAAGTACCATTAGAAGATGAATAAGTTCTGCGGACCTAACGTACAGATTATAGCTGGGGAGCACTTTGGAGCCTCTAATATGAGCTACTAATCCCATTCATGAGGGTTCCACATTCATATTTAAGCCCCCCCCAAGGTTCCACTTTCTACTACTACCACAGTGGGCATTAAGCCTTCAGGGGACACAAACATTCAGACCATAGCAAAGGCTGTGTTCTGCTGAAAAGTGGAAGTAAGACTGAACATTAAAAAATATTTCCAGATGTAATTCCCTGAGTTTATAAGTCTGCAGAGAAAAACTTTGAATCACATCAGTGGATACAGAAGAAACTGTTGAAAGATACTCAACACAAATTCATGGTAAAAACTTTTAGCAAATAAGAGGCAAGTTCCCTTTCTTAAATTTGGCAGCAAATATACTGAAATGTGAGATGTTAGAAGTATTCTTCTCAGGGACAGTCACAGACATGCCCTCTCATCTGCTTTTCCAAGCTACACTGAAACAGAAAGAGCCGCGGATAGCAAAGTGAGTAAGTATGTAGACCGAAAAGAGAATATTTGATATTAGAATAGGATCCTCTTTCTAGCATAATCAAAGGAATGGGCTCATGGAATGGTCAAATGAAAGAGACTTCGAAAAATAGTGGGTAGAAAGTCACCACTACAAAATCACCGACTTCGCCATGCAATGGCAATAACATGTCATAGAGCGTACCCCCGTTCACAAGCGCACCAAAACGGAGAGCTGCCTAAGAAAAAACCTAACAAAAATGTACAAGGTCTTTATGGAGGCAATTGTGCCAACTTACTTACCTTCAGGTCAGAGAGTTCCCAAACAGAGCAGTGTCCCAGGGGGCCCAGAATGTTGTACAGATGCCAGTTCGCCCCTTTTACAGATTTACACATTTAGTGTCTTAAGCAGTCAGTCTTGGGCTTCTGTCTTCTGTTTCCAAAGTCAATCCTGGAAAACTATAGAAGAAAGAATGGAATTTTTTTAAAAATGTAAAAGATACAACCACCCGGGAGAAAGTGAAAAAATGCCTTGAGGTGGTACTAAGTTTGGGCCGTGGCAGTGGCAACCTGGGCGCGTGACGCGTACCCAGGATGCAGAGGACAAGAAGTATAGGAAGAGTGTAAGCTTCTGACCAACTTCATGATGGAAATGTAAGGCAGGAGTCCTGGGGTCGTATCACGAAAAGACAGGACAAGTGAGCCAGTGTAGGGCTCAAAATTCTGTGCTCATAAGCCCCTGAAATCACCTTTGTGGGTGAGGACTGACTTTTTTCAAAAGCATCAATTTATCTTAATTGGCATTCTTAATCTTGGTAGAAAATAAATAGGGCCTCCCTGGTGGCACAAAGGGTTAAGACGCAACCTATGAAGCTATCTGTAGCCTCTGCAGCATGAGCTCCATCCCCAGTCAGGGAGCTACCCACATGGCGCAGCACTCTCCTGTCTCCCTGCTGCTCTTCTCAGCAGTGTGTTTCAGTCAATCCGCCTGTTCTGCTCCCCACTCTGTCTGTGGTGAATCCTCTCGCACCCCGCATCTCTGACCTGTACCCCTAACCCTAAATAAAAAAAAGAAAGAATAGATTGGAGGAGTATCCAGCCGCAGAGTGAATCAAGTAGGGTAAGGATGGGCATGGTTTCCCGAGACTTGGTGAGATGTAAAACATATTTTTGATGTTGGATAGGAGAAATGTTGCATGATTGCCAAAGAGCAGGGCCTCCCCCGATGCGATGCTGCGCTCGGCGTTTTGGAACAATGTTTCCAAGGCCTTGGCAACGGGAAGTGCCGCCTCTGACGGCTGCCGCTCCTCTGCCCTCTGGTCGCAGCCCGGGCGGCCCCGCCCGCGTGGCAGCTACGACTGGACTCAGTCCGGGGCCCCAGTCCTTCCCCGCCCGGGTGAGTGCGCGGGGCTGGGCGGGAGGCAGCCTGCCGGGCTAAGGCTTACTCAAGGGCCGCAGCCAAGGGAGGGGGCCCCGAGTGAGGGCCAGGGGGGGCGCCGGCCCCAGCACACCCCAAGGGCCAGCTCCGGCCCTGCTTCTGGCCCGGGAGACCCTGAGAGCGCGTCAGCCGAGCGCCCTGTTTCTGCCTGGGGTTTTCCGCCCAGTCGGGCCTAGGCCTCGGGGGTGGGGGTGCTGGGGTGGAGTAGAAAGGCGTCCCGGGGACCTCGGGAGTCGAGGGAAGGAGCCTGTGCCGGCGCAGGCGGGACCCTGGGCCTCAGAACAGAGGGTCCTGAGCACCCCCCCCCCCCCGCCCCCTGGGTCACTCTGGAGGGTCCCGGGAAGACGCGGCCAGAGCCATGGCCGCAGCCGTGGGGGGGCGGGGCCCCCAGGAGGGGACGGCCTGGGCTGGGAGCTGCCGTCACACGGCAGAGGGGCGCCCAGGCCCGCCAGCGGGCGAGGGGAGGCCCGAGGGCCACCGAGCCTCCAGGACGCAGGCCCCGCGCCAGGCCCCGCGCCGCCCCTGCCGTCCGGGCCGGGAAGCCCCGCGCGGCGGCGCGGCCGGATGTCGCCTTCCCTCACTTCCGCCCGCCGGGCCCGGGGGTGCAACGTGGCTGGCTGGCGGCGCCCCCTCTCCGGCCCACGGGGGGCGGAGTCCGGGGCCTGCCCGGCCTGAAGGTAAGAAAGGCGCCTCGGCCGGGACGGAGGGGCTCCTGAGCCCCAGAACAGAGGAGGCCCCTCAGAAGCCCGTCCGACGTAGCTCCCCGAGGGGGGCTCCTCGCCTTTGCGCTCGGGAGGCCGAAGGCGGTGGGGTTTTACTCCGACGGACACGGAGTGAGGCCGGCAGAGGACACTCAGCGGAGGGAGGACACTCAGGAGTCAGGGAGTGGCCCATGAGGGAGGAATTCGCGGGGCTTCTGCTTCAGAAGAAGCGCCTCACAGAAACGGCCCCACTTCCGCCTGCAGCTCGGAGGCGCCAGGCTGCGCTGTCCAGAAGGCGCCCTCCGTTAGGCCGGGAGGGGTGTCTCAGGAGGCGAGAGCCTCGGATGGCTCAGCAAGGGGGCGCGGGCTCCCCAGACCTTGCCACCTGTTACCGCGAGAATCTGAGGGCGGCCGGGGTGACCCTGAACTCCAGAACGCAGCCAGCCCGTCTTCCCCCCGCCCGTGCTATCTGCTTTGGGAGCCCCTGAGCTTGTGTGGCCTGCGGTAACCCTCGCTTCTGTCTCAGGGGCCTCGGGGGCCAGGAGCCTGGTCTGAGGGGCAGCATTAGCCGAACAGAGGGTGGAGTCCAAGATCTTGCCAGAAGCCTGGGTGAGGACCCCGAGAGAGGCTTAAAGGTATCCCCACCCCAGAACACAGAGGGGGACCACCGAAATCCGCTCCTGCCTCTCTGGCAGAGACCCCAGGAAGGACTTTCAGTCCGAGGCACCCCTTCATTTCCTGGGGGGTGTCAGGGAAATCAAGTCTGAGAGGGCCGACTCAGGTCAGCCCAGCGAGGGTTGTGGGCCTTGCCAGGCACCAAGGTGAGCCCCCGGAGGTAAGACTCCACCCCCACCCACCCCAGAGAAATAAACCTTCTGGAAGGCCCTTGTTGGCCCTGTGAGGCTCCAAGGCATGGCCGCCCGCTGTGTTGAGGGCGTTTCCATTTGAGCTTTCTGGGGGGCAGGGCGGGAGGGCCGGGCACCGGCCCAAGAGAGGCAGCTCAGGGCCGCAGAGGGGGAGTCTCGGGACTCGGGGTATGGACGGAGGGGACTCCTCCCGACAGAGCAGCCGCAGGCTGAATCCCAACTCCGCTTTGCCACCTCGGTCAGCCACGAGAGGACGCGGAACAGGGTGGCAGCGCGCACCCTCCTTCCTCCACTGGTGGTTCATGACGCTTAGATTTTCATGTCAACGAAGGTGGCCCCAGCTCGCCAGAGGGAATTATTTTTGACCCTCTCAGGTAGCAAAGGTGGGACCAAGGGGACGCAACCATTCCAGGACACGTGACCTCCCAGAGTTCAGCCGCATCTTGCTGTCCCCTCTGGGACGCCCTGGGCAGGTGTGACCAGATGTGGGGCCCCCTCACCTCCTGCCGTCTAGTCTCAGGCTGTGCAGTCTTGATCTGAGAGTGTTGCGTCAGGCCAGCGGAGGGCTGGGGCCCAGGCCCTGCCAGGGGAAAGGTGAGAACCCTGAGTGAGCACAGAGAGCAGCACCCGCCCCAGAACAGGGGGACCTCGCAGAGCCTGGCCCATCCCTCCTGTCACCTCTGGAGGCCCAGACATGTGCTTGCTGCCTACATCCCGAGGTGCCTCTTCCTTTCTTCTCCCAGGGGCTCCAGGACCCTGGAGGTGAAGGCCGTGGTCTGAGGCACGCAGCTCAGGTGACAGCAGGTGAAGCCCAGACACCACCGGCGTCAAGGTGAGGTGCCCACCCAAAATGTAGATCTGTGAGTGCCCCCTGCTCAGAACAAAGAGGACCCCACATGTCCAGCCACTCCCCGCCCCACCCTGAGGAGGCGCCATCTCTCATCCTTACTTCTGAGAAGCTTTGGGCTGTTCGGTAGGGCATCGCCCTGTGAGGCCCAAGGGCACCCCTAACAGGAGGCCGTTAAGTCGCCTTTCGGGACCGCCAAGGGAGCGCTTCTCAGCCGGGGCTGCTCGTGTCCTCTCTCCCCCAGGCCCGTGGGACCCGTCGGTCCGCACGCCTGCCGGCTGCTCTGAGGCCACACGCGTCGTCATGCCTCGACCTTCGAAGCGACGGCGCTACCTGCTTGAGGAAGAGCAGTCCCAGAGCCAGGCCCAAGGCCTGGGGGGTGTGCAGGCTCCCGAGGCCGAGGAGGAGGAAGCGTCCTCCTCCTCCACCTGCTCCTCCTCGTTCCCGTCCTCCTCCTCTTCCTCGTGCTACCCTCTCTTCTCTAGCACCCCGGAGGAGATGAGTGCTCCTGGGACACCCAGTCCGTCCCAGAGCCCTCGTGGCGCCTGCCCCGCCACTGCCGCCGCGGCCTCTGCTCTGGAGAGCCCAGCCCAGGAGGTGAGCGCCGCCAGCCAAGGGGAGGAGGGTCCCAGCACCTCGGCGCAGGCCATGCAGGCCGCTGCGGCCACTTCCAAGGATGCGGTTGATGATGAGAAGGTGGCTGACCTGGTGCAGTTCCTGCTCCTCAAGTTTCGCACCCAGGAGCCGACCAGCCAGGCCGAGATGCTGAGGGAAATCCTCGGCGGCGACGAGGAGCACTTCCCTGACATCTTCAGCCACGCCTGCGAGTGCATGCAGCTGGTCTTCGGCCTTGACGTAAAGGAAGTGGACCCCCAAGACCACTCCTACGTCCTGGTCAACACCCTCGGCCTCAGCTATGACACGATGCTGTGTGTTGGGCAGAACGTGCCCAAGACGGGCATCCTGGTTCTTATTTTGAGCATAATCTTCATCGAGGGCAACAGTGCCCCTGAGGAGGAGATCTGGGGAGCCCTGGAGGTAATGGGGGTGTTTGCCGGGGTGGAGCACTTCATCTTTGGGGAACCCAGGGAGCTTCTCACCGAAGTGTGGGTGCAGGAGCGGTACCTGGAGTACCGGCAGGTGCCCGGCAGTGATCCCGCCCGCTACGAGTTCCTGTGGGGCCCCAGGGCTCACACGGAGACCACCAAGATGAAAGTCTTGGAGTTTTTAGCTAGAGTCAATGGGAGTGACCCCAGATCCTTCCCACTGTGGTATGAGGAGGCTTTGAGAGATCAGGAAGTGCGAGATCAGACCAGCATCGCCAGCCCCCCAGATGACCCCGCTGGCATGGCCGGTGCGAGTTCCAGTGCCGGCGCCAGTCCCTGTGCTGGGGCCAGTTCCAGTGCCAGCGCCCGTGCCCGTTCCAGTGCCAGGGCCAGTTCCAGTGCCGGGGCCAGCGGCTTCTCCTGGCCCCAGTGAGTGGGGAGCAGGTCCTCCACGGTGTGGCCCAACTCGACACAGAGGGTCAGCGAGGCTGAGTGAGCCGCGGGGAAGCGTCTTGGGGTTCCTGTTCCATAGGGGTGACTGAGAAATTTATCTTGAGGTTATTTTGTTTTGTATTTTAAAATGTTGTTACTTTTGCTAGAAAGCTGACTGGCTTCCGAACCTGCGTTTATGAGTGACATTGGTCACGCGTTTGTTGCTGCTAATACAGTTTGACTTCGGGAAACCTTCCATTTTATCTGTAGTCTGTGACAAAATAACAAGGCCTTGGATAGTCATTTCCTGGAGATGTGGACGATTTAGCTGTCATGGATGGGGTCTAGAAATAGAGGAATAAAACAGAAGAGAGTTAGTTCTTGGTCTCTTTCCTTTATGTCGTTCTGTAAAAGTAAAGAGCACATGTGTCTGTGCTTTGCTCGGGTCATTCAAGAGGGAGAGATGAACGTGGTAAAGAAGCCCTTGCTCGTGGCCGGTCCTGCCCACGCCGGCCCCGAGCCTCTGCTCCTTGGAAGCACTAGGAACATGGAACGTCCTGGGGGGACATAAGGCGCACTGCACCCCACAGAGGGCAGGTGTGGGAGCTGCCGTCCCAGGAGCAGGGTGGTGAGCCGTCCCTGTGGGGCAGAAGGCGCGGCGCAGGATCTCTCTGACCTCAGCAGACAGGTAGAGCAGAGAGTCCGAGGAGCCCTCGGTGGCTCTTTCAGGCTTTCATTCTGTTTACCAGGTACCCGGCAGGCATCGGGGCCGGGGCCCAGGAGGCTGGCAGGCCCCCTAGCCCCCAGCGAATCTTCACTTTTCTGGGCTCTACGGCGTTCTCTCGTGGCTTCTACTTCTCTGCTCCTTTCGCGCTCCACTGGCGTCCCCGTGACGCCGCCCTTATAAGCCCAGTCTCAGCCCAGGTGAATCCCACCTACGCATGCCCACGCCCTGCTCCAGGTGCCCGCCATCAGGCATGCATGCAGGAACGCAGGGATCCACCATCCGTCCTAATGGTGGGAGGGCAGAAAAGCCTGACACTTGACTTAGCCTACAGTCCCCCAAGAGACAGAGGCAGGAGGGCAGGGGCGGGGCCCTGGGGGAGAGAAGTCAGGGTAAAGGCCCCTCCCGGGGCAGCTTGGGGCCTTGGGGCCTGCAGTCCTCTGGCGGGTGACTGCCCTCATGTGGGGTGACTGCCGCCATGTGGGGGGAGGGGGAGGCTCTCAGATGCCGTGTCTTAGAGATGGAGCAAAACCTCCACAGAAAATCTCGGGCAGCTGCTTTAGGGCGGCGGGGGAATCTGCAGGCGGGGCGGGCCGTGACCGGGCCCCGCACCCTGGTCCAGAGGCGCTGCACAGCCCAGGAGCCCGGTGCTGTGACCCGTCCCCTGCCCGGGCTTCCTGAGAAACGGGGAATCGCCATGAGGGAGGCCCAGAAGTCACAGCCACGCACCCTTCCCCGGGCCTGGGAGAGCCGGAGCTGACGCCACAGCAGCGCGTGTTGAGTCGGTCCCCGGCATGTGATTTAGCTAACGCTAAGCAGTGCTCAGAGGGGGCGTGTGTGTGTGTGTGTGTGTGTGTGTGTGTGTGAAGGAAAGTGGTGGTTTGGGTGGGAGAGCAGCTGGGAGTGAGGGAGCTGGTCCTGGCCTCAAGTTCTGGGAAGTGTGAGATGCCCGCCGCGAGGGACGCCCCCACCTCCCCGTAAGTCCAGGAGCACCTGTGGGAAGGAGAAATCTCGGCGCGTTATGTCCGGGGCAGCATCCTGGACTGACTTGGAGCTCCGGAGCTGCGTCCCCTGAGAGGGCCGGGAGGGCTGGCAGGAAAGGCTCCCGAGGGGAGGGGCGCGGGCCCTTCAGAGGCCAGGCCGCGCGCGGGGGTCACCCGCAGGCCACGCAGCCCTGCCTGCCCCAGCACGGGCTCCCCCGCGTCGCGGAGGAAGAGTGGGAGGCCAAGGAGCAGCTGGTCGGCGTCGCGTGCCCAGGGAGGGGGGAGGCAGGAGCCCCACGCGAGCTCCCACCGGCCCCGGCCTGCCACCGACCTGGACGCGCCACCTCGCCTCCTTTCCCGCCCCGCCCCGGGCCCTCCGCTGCTGCCAGGCGCCTGGTCAGGGCCCCGGCACAGGGCTGCAGGCGGAGGGCGGCGACGCAGATCCAGCGCGGGGCTCCGTCGTCGGGGCTTCACCGGCCAGGACCCTCCCGCCCGAGTCCGGGCCCGCCGGGAGCTGAGTCTGCCCGGGGCCGGCATCTGCGGCCGGGCCCAGGACTTGCCCGAGCTCTGGCGTCCCTGCCCTGGCGTTCCCCAGCGCCCCCGGCCCAGCTCCGGCGCCTGCTGACCAGCGTGCCGCGCTGCTCCCCGGGAGCCTGGGGAGGGCCCGCCCGCCGCAGAAGCCCCTCGTGTCCCAGCCCCCAGCCCCCTCCGGGGCCCCGGCCTCTGAGCTCAGGGCGCAGTGTGGGCAGTTTCCTCGCCTTCCTGGGGCCCTGGGGCAGCGCTGCCCGCCCGCTCGCGCTCAGGAAGGGCCCCTGACCGTCCCCGAGCGGGGGGCTCGCTCCCCGACCTGCCCGGAGGCCGAGGCCAGGCCCGGGCTGGCGAGAGGAGAGAAGCCTCGCTGCAGCGGGCGGGCGAGCAGGCGGGAGGGCAGCTGCACCTGCTCTCTGGCGGAGCGCGGGGGTGAGCTCGTGCGGGGTGTGGGCCCCAGGCTGAGCGCCCAGGCGCTGGGTGCTTCGGGGCAGGGGTGGGCCCGGGCAGGGACGCCGCAGGGGCGCGCAGAGGCTCTGGTCAGGCCCCGGCCCCGGGCTGCGGCGGGGAGCCCGGCTGCTGCTCCCGAGCTCTGCACGCGTCTCCCGGCTCCAGCGCCCTGGGCCTCGCTCGGGCCAGCCCCGCTGAGCCTGCTCGGGTTCCTGCACCTGCCCGCCGGCCACCAGGCTCTGCTTGCGTGACAGTGCCCGTCTCAGAAGAGCTCGGCCCCTCCCGGGCCTGCGCCGGGGGCTTGAGAGCTGCTGAGGAGAGGTCTGCGGGCCATGTGGGACCCGCGCCTGGCAGCCGGGGATCGAACCGGCGCTGCAGAGGCTGCGGGCAGCTTTGCAACCCAGCGCTCAACCGCTGCGCCACCGGGGAGGCCCGAGGTTATGTTTTTAGGGAGATAGATCATTAAGCAATGCATCATTCTTGGATTTTCTGTCTCTCAATTGTTTTCAATTCCAAATAATCAGCACGCCACTTGGGCACAACCTAGGTGAGCTTGTCCTTGGTCCTGACCAATGTATTATATTAATAGAGTAAAGGACAAAAACATGATTACCTCAATAGATACAGAAAAAGCCTTTGGTGAAAGCCAACACCATTTTATGACAATTTGTTTTTTTCAACAAACTAGAGCAGAAGAAAACTTCCTTTCTCTGATAAGGACATCTATGAAAAACTTACAGCAAACATTATACCTAATACTACAGTGCACTGAACTATACAATTCAGATGCGTGAAGAGCAAATTTTCTGGGACATAAAATATGTGTTCATAGAGCTAGTAAGACATTGTTCGTCTTGGCTTCGTGGGTGTGTTTCTCATTGGGAGGGTGGGGGAGAGCAGCTGTCAGGGATTTATCCCTTGCCTGGGCTGGTGAACTTAGTCCAATCACCATCGAATTTTCTTTTCCCCACCTTAGTGGCTGCACTGATGTTCTTAGAACTTTAGAAATGGGAGGAGTGGCAAGTGACTCTCCCTGCCCCATCCACCCCCTCTCGTCCACAGGTATCCACCTCTGCTGGCCCTGGGAGAGCAAGGGCAAGGAAAAGTAGGGGGAGCATGGTGAGGGCAAGCAGGGAAGGAATGTGATCCTGTGGAGAAAAGAAAGATCTGGTGCTTTGGTCCCTGTCATAATGGTCGCCCGCATGTGCCATCAGGAGCTGCCGTGTCAAAATCTGGATATATGGCTGATCTTTTCAAAACATTGGAAGCACTGGCAACACTCGGCCCCTACCCAGCTCATTTTGCTCCTGCCCGTGAGGGTATCTGTGATCCTTTTGCCTGCCCTGGGCCCACGCACTTCAAGTTCTGGCCGCAGCTGACCCTGTCAGGAATTCCCGAATAGGACCGGTCTTCACGCATCTCTGGTTTCACCCACAATGACCTTCCCCTCTGTCCCCTGTTGCTGCTGTCTCCCATCTGCCACTGAAATGCATTCGCTCCCTTGCCTCTCCTGTTTCTCTTTGCAGCACCTCATTTGCACCTGTGCAAGAGAATCCCGTGCTAGAGAATCCCGTGCTGACCCTGCCTCGGGGCAGGGCCCACTACACTCTTTCCTGGCTCTCTTTCAGACAGCTGTACCCTCATCTGCCGTACCCCTCAGTACAGGGCACACAGTAGGTGCTTCATATTTGACATATTGGATTGTCCCAGTAGCCTGGTCTGAGACTGAAGAGGAGAAGTTGCTGTGACACGAGGAAAAGATTGAGTACAGAAAATCAAGATAAACGAATTCAGACAAGCTGTGAGAACCGAAGGAATTCCTCAGCAGAGACGGAGAAGCACTCACACTAGTACTGAGCCAAGCCCGGTCAGAGACACTCACTTTCACAGCTTAGAAATTGCTTTTGACACCCCTCAACATGGTCGGGGTGTTAGTTGTTCCAAAAATAAAGCTTTCCTGGCGGTGGCTGGTAACTGAGGTTGGCAGCTGTAGGAGCAGCAGGTGTCGTGACATGGCAGCCTGCATCTTCAAACCGTGTTTGAAATGTTCTCTGACATTTCCATCTGTAAAATGTCACTTCTCCGTCCCACTAGGCTAGGCCAGGCCACAGGTTGATGTGTGGAGTAGAGAAATCACAAATTATTAATTTGCCTGTTTCCACCTGATAAGCCACCTGGAGAGCAGGAGAAAAATCCATGCCAGAACCATGGGAGCGGGCTCCCCAAAAGGGTTCAGATAGGCTTTTTCTGTGATGTACAGGTGTAGGGTAAGGAAAAAATGCCAGGCTTTTCTGCCCTCCCGCCATCAGGATAGATGATGGATCCCTGCAGTCCTGAACGCACGCCTGATGGCGGGCACCGGGAACAGGGTGTGGGCATAGGTAGATGGGATTCACCTGGGCTAAGACTATGCTTTTAAGGGCGGTGTCACGGGTATGCCAGCAAAAGCTGAGAAGAAGCCAAGAAGGAACAGAAGCTGAGAGAGAGAGCGAGAGAGGGCCGGAGAGCCCAGATAGAGTGGAGACTTGCTGGGGGCTGGGAGGCCTGTCAGCCTCCCGGCCCCCCAGCACCCCTGCCTGCCGAGTACCGGGTAAATCCCAATAAAAGACCTGCAAAACCCCTGAGGGCTCCAGAAGTCCTCCTTTACCCGGTCTGCTGGATCCTAGAAAACCTGCACAGTGTCCTGTCCTGCCTCTACAGCAGGGCAGGCTTTTCTGGTGCGTGTCATCTTTGCTGAGTGGCACTAATGTCACTCAGGGCTTCAAGAGAAACTGTTAGCACAACCTCATAGAAAGAAAGAAGATTGCCTAGATTTAGGGTCTCCTCAAATAACCTTTTGTGGAAGAAAGCTATCTTAAGGCAGGGCCAGCATGTAGAGCATGTGGTGTAGCATCCCTGTCCTCACATGAGCACCTCTGCTGTCTCCCTGATGTTCTAGGCCCCATCCCATTCTCTGATGTAGGAGGTAAACCCTCTGTCTGCCATATTTACTTGAGCGTTACAGGCTTATGGATCCTCCACAGATAAACACTTTTGCTTTTCTACTCATCAGTCTGACAGAGTTTTGTTTGGTTAGAGAAAAACCTAGAGGGGGAATTTTGTCCTGCCACTGGTGCCCCGCAGTGGAGTGCAGAAACCAGCCTGGTGACTACTGACCCCACACAAGCAATTTCATGTCCTTCAGGGCAGGGGGACGGGTTGCTGCAGAGGAGGAAAAAGCGGTTAGTGTAGCCTGGCTTCCTCCAGGCAGATGCTGCGATGTTTCTTCAGAAGGGCAGGATTTGATCACAAGGCCCTGGCCAGGTACCCCGACACTAGGACACTAGGCTCCTCCCTCTCTTAAAGTTGACCTAAGGAGGGGGCCTCCCCTGGTGGCGCAGAAGGTTGATCGCTGGGCTGTGGTGAAGCTGCCCGCAGCCTCTGCAGCGCTGGTTCGATTCCCAGAGGGTTCCCACATGGCGCGCAGACCTCTCCTGCCGCCCGCCGCTCCCCTCAGCAGTGTGCTTCGGTCCTTCTGCCTGCTCTGCTCCCCGCTCTGGCGCTGGCGAATTCTCTCCCCCTCCTGGCTTCTGACTCTACCCAGTGCTTGTATAAATAAATAAATGTTTAAAAAAAAAAAGTTGACCTAAGGGATGGAGACAGGCAGCGAGGAACCAGGGGTCACCGCGTGCAGGAAAATGTTTGTGTGTAACGCGGAGGGGGGGGGCGGGGGCGGGGCTGGCATATGCTCTCCCCTGCAACGTGCTTTACCGAGGGGTCCCCACCGCTCCCCAGAGTTGGGTCCTCAAGGAGACCTGGGGCCACTCTGGAGGTGCCGCGCTGGTGCCGGGACGGTTGTCGCTCAGGCTTCAGCTCCCAAGGACAGAGCTTCCTGGCTGCGGCCCCCGCGAGGAGTCGCGCGCCGAGGGTCGCGGGCACGTCGGCTCCCGCGCACGGGCCAGCCCCGGCGGAGCGCTCCGGCGGCGGCGCACTGCGCAGGCGCGCCCTGCAAGTTTGCTCCCGGCCGGACTCCGCGCGGCGCGCAGGTGGCAGCCCGCGCCCCTCTGCTGGCGCTTCCTTCAGCCCCGCGGCGCCCTCGGCGGGACCATGCAGGCTGTGGTGTCCCCGGTGACCAAGGCCATCTTCGTGGCTTTGTTCCTCTTCGCCATCCTGCTCATCCTCTACGTGATCCTGTGGTACATCTGCCGGGACGTGGACAACGACTACATCTGAGGCAGGTAGAGCGCTGCCCGGCCCCGGGGATCCGTCCGCATCCGCGTCGGGATGGCTCGCGCGCGTTTGCTCTTGAACCTACGCTTCTTCCCAGGAGCCCACCGTGGGGAGGGGGACGGGGGCTGCTGCAGGGCGCCTTCCTTCCTGGCCCCGAAGTCCTCTCCCCTTGGCTCCCAGCTTCTCACTTCCCCGCCTCTACTCCTGCGCCCCCTCCCCCCTGTGCTTATCCAGGACCCCAGACCCTGCCCCCACCACCAGCACGCGTCCTGCCCAGCCCCTCCGCAGATCCAGATCCGCAGATCCGTGCAGGGGCCTCCCAATCCCCTGGCTCAGCACCCACTGCCCTTCCCTCGCTCTGCACCCCCTCTCCTGCAACCCGCTCCCTCCCAGGCCACATCCCTTTCCACACCCCTTGCCTCCCATTGCTCTTCCCCAAGCCAGTGCTCTCCACAGATCCCTCTCTCCAAGCCCCTTCTTCCCCTCTCTGGCCCAGAGGCCCTCTCCCCACCCACTTCTGCTCATCACCCCCTTCCCTCCACCATGACCAGGACCTGACCCCACTGCTCTTCTGAGCCCTGACCACATTTTCTCCAGGAGCCCGCTGCAGCCTGTCCCAGGCCCCTCCCCAGACCCTTCCCATGACCCTGTGCCTGTTCTGACCCTGGGCCCTCCCAGCCCCCCTCAGGCCTTCCTTAATTTCGTGTCCTGGGGGATCCTAGCCTATCCCCCCAACTCTGTCTCCCTGTCCTGGCTCCCCTCCCTAACTTCCAGCAGGTACCCCAGCCAGGCTTAGGGCACTGACCCCCGCCCCCCATCTGCCATTCAGAGTCCATGTCTGAGCAGCAGGTGTCTGCAGGACAGGAGGGACTTTTGGTGGCTACTGAGCCTCCTGTATCCCTGAAGGTGCCCCAGAACCCCCTTATCAGTTCATGGCATCCAAACACCTTCAGCCCTCCAAGAGGCAGGACTCCCGAGTGGCTTGGGCCTACAGATCAGCCCAAGAGTAACAATTTGCCATGACACACCTGTTCCCTGAGTCTCCTTGAATTAGATTTGTTCCCACAAAGAGGCCCCCCAGCATCGGGTGGGGCACTGCCCTGGCGATGAAAGGGTGCTGTGGATGAGCCTTTGGGCATGGAGCAGTAGAAACTGGGCCCCACATATCCAGCTTCCTCTGGTTTTCTCCTTTGGGTGTGGCAGGTCCTTCTGCGGTGAACGGCTAGTTGGGACTGGACCAGCACCTATCTGCCGCATCAGCCAGCGAGTTTGCTTCCGGGGGGCGCCGTGGTTATTGTGGGGGTGGGCAGTGCCATGGTAGAGCCTGAACCTATGGTGGAGCGCGGGCTTGACATGAGTTCACCCCCCAGATTCTCCCCCAGAGAGGTCAAGGGCATCCAGCAGTAGGAACAGCCCCCTGGGACGCAGAGCACCATCTCAAATGGACCATAGTAGAAGGTGTTGACGCAAGATGGGTGAGCCCGACTCACAAAGAGGGGTTTACGTTCCAGACCAGCTGCTTCAGGGCTCTGCCGCGGGGCAGATTACGCTCTGAGCATCTGTTAGTTCATCTGTAGAGTGATGTTGATGACTGTCGAACTCAGTGGGAGGAGCACATGAAAAGGTGTGTTTAACCTGATAAACGGTCTTCCGCGCAGCAAGTCCTGAAGTAGAGATGGCACTTATTTGTGGGCAAGCGGCCATCTTCTATGAACAACCTATTGTTTTACTTACCTGAGACCTGATTTATAGACAGTAAAATTCTCCGTATTTTAAATGTACAGTTCTGAGTTTTGACAGTGAGCTTTGTAACTACACCTCACTCAAGACATAAGTGCCTTCTCTTGGGAACCTATTATTACAAATATCTTCCTATTGAGGTCTTTAAATTTGAGAAAGCCAGCATCTAAAACTTGTTTTGCAAAACAAAAGAAATCCTCAGATTCTAAGGGGGCTGGGCGGAAGTGCACTGGCAGGGGCATCATAATCCAGCATGTGCAGAAGTCGAAATATAAAGCTGCAGGCCCGAAACTTAAAAAAAGGAATAGAAAGAAACAAAACAAATGAATGAACAAAACAACAGGAAAACAAACTCTGATTATGAGAAGACATGGTGTTCAGCAGAGGGGCGGGGCAGGGTGAGGGAGGTAGCTAAGGGGGTTGCAGTGTGGCCGTGGGTGGGGAGGATCTTTAGGTGGTGAGTGAGCCGTAGTGGATACAGACAGCGAATGTCACACTGGCCACCTGACACCTTCATGTTATAAGGCAGGTCACTTCAATACAAGTTAAAAAAGAGAAGTAAGTACAACATTCATTCATATTTATATTCACTTGTAAGTAGACTTGCATTATGTCATGTTTTTGAGGCTGGAGGTTTGTATGCACTGGGGTACTCCCCACCAAGATACTTCACTACTTTTCTTAATTTATTTATGCATACAAGAACTGGGGTACAGGCCACAGGTGTGGGGGGTGAGAGGACTCACCAGAGACAGAGTAGGGAGCAGAACAGGCAGACTGACCAAAGCACACTGCTGAGGGGAGCAGTGGGTGACACAGGAGAGGTCTGCTGCACCATGTGGGTTGCTCCCTGGCTGGCCGGGGATCGAACTCGTGCTGCAGAGGCTGCTGATAGCTTCATAGTGCTGAGACATAGCCCCTTGCACCACCAGGGAGGTCCCACTACTTTTTAATCAATTTACATTGTTTTTTTGACCTTACCCAAACAATAAATAACAACACTTTCTGGCAAAAAGAAAAATCATGCAGCCTGGAAGTGAGTAGAACAGTCTACCCCCAGCCCATTCTCCTCCCTGAAGACCACCACTGTGAAACATTTGGCCCTCTGCTTCCTGCCTCTATTTGCGCCTCTCTCTCTCTCTCATACACACACATACACACACTTTCACACACACAGTGCTGTTCGTTTCCTTCATATTAGTTGTGATTCTACTTTAGATTTCACAGGGCCAGGAGGGAATTCAGAAGCAGAGTGCAGGCCTCTTAAAGAAGCCCAGAGCTTTCTGCCCTGTCTTTTAGCATGCCCCAGGCACTGCTGGGAAGGGGTGCCTAGTCTGCGAGGAGCTGTTGTGAGCGCCAGATCCCCTGATGCGAGGTGTGACAGAAAGTGCAAAGACTATTTTTAAGAGTTAAGTGGAAAAGCACTGGGCATTTGCATCGAGGTCACAGGAGGTAAAAGGCCCACATTTCTGGGTGTTCCACTTCTTTGTCCACTTCTTGGGTGCCCAGCCCTCTAAGGATGGGAGCCAAAAAGGTCCCTGTTGCTGGGCCCCTGGAATGCTGGGTGGAGCGTCAGTATGTCTGCCCAGAGGTACTGCTCCTGTGGGCAGCTGGAGCTGAAGACCTCCTCTCCATGCCTAAAGAGAGCTCAGATCCTGTCTTTGATGGTCCTGTCAGTGCTTCTAGAAAGTTTCCCGTCAGCAGTGTGCAAGATTAGGAAGGTCTGAGAGTGGCGACCTGTTAGAAAGACAAGGAAGGATGAGCGGCATGGGAAGAAGGGGGAGGAGATATTCCAGGCTTGAACTGGGAGGGCTTGGTGACTGGAGGAGTGTGAAGGCACCATCACCAGGGTGGGTAGAGAAGAGGAGTGGGAGGGAAGCGGATACTGTGCTGCCCAGCCCCACCAAGCGGCAGTGACGTCATTAAAGTATCAGTGGCACCTGTTGGACATGGACAGTTTCCTGGGCTGGGATTCCAGGCCCTGCCTGACCTGAAAACACTGCTACCTGGATCTTTCTTTCCTCCCACCAACACCCTGATGTGGACAAATGTCTTCCCAGGGCCTGGATCACAGAAAGAGCTCAAAACATGGTAGCCGGTTTATCTCATGAGGCTCCGCTTGTGGCATGGGCCTCTCTAGAGGCCACTTGGCTTTCTTCTCAACATTGTGCCCTGCTCGCAATTCTTCCAGCCTCTCTAGAAACCTTCCTGCAGAGTTTTTCAGTCTTGTATCTTGAATATTCCTCAAGAGTATTTCTGCCCAACTCCTTCATAGCACCCATTCTTTCCCTCTGGCTCATATTTTCTTTTTCTTCTATCTTCTGTCATTCGCAGCATCTGCCTATTTGCTCCTTAATCCTTTGCGTTGAATGCCTCCACCATACAGAGAAATCTATGTTAATATCCTGGAAAGAATAGATAACAGTAAAATGTAGGAAAATAATAAGGAAGTGATGAGTTTTGTGTATTCATTAACTATGTAATTGTCTCCGTCAACTGTCATGGAACCTTGGTCCAGTAACATAAACTCACTGTTCCTTAGTTTATTTTTCAAATGGATCTAGTGATATTCCCAGAGCCTCTTGGACTTTCTGTGAGGAGTCCTGTTTTTTACCTTCTATTACCAAGCTTGCTTCCCCAGAGGTTGTTTTCTGGAGCTCAGATCTCTGGACCACTCTGATTCCTCTGATTCCTGGCTTCTAGATCCTTCACCAGGGCTAACCTAATATTGTCAGTATTTCAGCTTGTCTCCTCAGCCTCACACCTCTTCGTGTCACGGTTCCTTGGATTCTGATCAGAATTCTTAACACTCCCAGCATCCTGCAATAATCTTCACAAATATTTACAGTGGTGTTTGCCTCTAATCTTCTCACACTGTTCATTTTTTCATCCATTTGGTCAACAGACTCTTCCTAATTGTGGCTAGTCCACACCAGTCACTGTGTGCCAGGCACCGTGCTCAGTGCTTTACATGTTAATTCTTAGAGCATTCCCAGAAGGAATTTTTAAATTTTGGTAGAATTTACTGGAAAAGTTACCTGGTCCTGAGCTTTTCTTTGTGGGAAGGTTTCTTAATTATTAACTCAGTTATTTACTTGTCATAGGTCTATTCCAAATTTCTATTTCTTCTTGAGCCAGTATTGGTACTTTGAGTCTTTCTAGGAATTTCAACATGCTATTCATGTTATCTAACTTTTCAACATACAGTTGTTCCCAGTATTCCCATAAAATCCTTTGTTTCTATAAGGTTAGCAGTAATGCCTCACTTTCATCCCAGATTTGAGTAATTTTAATCCTTTTTTCTTGGACAATCAATCTATAGGTTTGTCACTTTTGTGCCCACATATCAGTAAGTCAGTGGCTGGCAGCCCATCTGAGAAGTGTGTGGCCTTAACTGGCACCCACCTCAGTAGACTGTGACTTTGACACTATAGTAAAAGCATATATAGGCAAAAGATCGATACAAGAACTACAAGATGTCATGAAAGGACTTAGTGACATAAGGAGAGAAAAGGATCTCCCGTGCTCATGGGTGTGGACCATCAATAGCATTAAAATGTCTATCTTGCCTAAAATGACATATCAGCTTAATGCAATGCTCATCAAAATCCCAGCAATATTTTTAAAAGAAACTGAACAAAAATGTATTAAAATTTATATGGAACCACAAAAGGCATCAAATTTCAAAAGCAAAATGCATTCCTGAGAAAAAAGGAGGGAAAGTGAAGGAACACATTACCTGACTTCAAGCCTGACTATACAACAGCAGAACTGAAAACAATATGGTTTTGGCACAGATAGAGATATCAGTACAGAGAATGAGAGAATAGAGTCAAAAGCCCAGAAATCAGACCACATGTTTATCAGTACCTAATCTATGATCAAGCAGCTGTGCCCCTGCTTGGACAGTCTCTCCAACAAACTGTGATGGGAAAATTGGAAAGTCACACAAAAGAATGAAGTTGGACTGCTCTCTATCTCCACACACAAAAATAAACTCCAAATGGATTAACAATTTAGATATAAGAACTAAACAATAAAATAGAGGAAAACATTGGTGATGCATTCAATGATACCAAAGGAAAAAATTTATTTTTTTTTGGTGAGTTGACCCACCCCCTAAGGCAAGAGAAATAAAAACAAAAATAAATATTTAGGATTACCCCAAGTTTCCAAGCTTTTACACATTGAAAGAAAATGCAAGAAGGTTAAAAAGGTACCCTATTAAATCAGAGAAAATATTCACACACACACACACACACACACACACGACAGATAAAAGATTAATATCTAAAATATGCAAAAAGTTCAATTCAACAATAGAAAACAACCTAATTAATTATTGGGCAACAGATATGAACAGATAGTTCAGCAAAAAGGATATCCAGAAGGTCCATAGACACATGAAAAAATGTTCATCGCTGCCTCCAATTAGAGAGAATCATTTCCAAATGACAATGAGACACCGTCTCACACCTGAATGGCACATACTCAGAAGCTACCCAACTAGTGCTGGAGAAGATGTGGAGAAATAGGAGCCCAGTGCAATGTGGGTGGGAACGTAAGCGAGCACAGCCATCGGGAAAGCAATCCGGATTTACCTTAAACAACTAAAAATGGAAATGCCCTAAGACCCAGCAGTCTTGCTTGGAGCATCTATAAATATGAGACCATCAACATAAAAACTACGTGGCCCACAGCATTCACAGCAACATTATTTGCAGTGGGGAGGACATGGGAGAGCCTAAAGGTCCATCAGTAGACAACTGGATCAAGAGGCCACGCTAGGGGGCATGACTCAGCCACAGGACACCTGCAATGCAGTCATTTTCAGCAATATTGAGGAAGGTTTGAGCGAATTGTGTGTAGCAAAGCAAGTCAGAATGATAAAAACAAATAAATACTGGACATTTATATAGCACGTGACTAGATAATTAAAAATTTTACTGCCAGTATACATTGACTCTTCCAGAACCGCAGAGGGAGAACTCTGGTGCCCCCTACACGTCCTACTAGTGCGCGAGCTCCTCGGGGCGAGGGCCACAAGCACGCTGGCACGCCTGCCGCCCACACGGCACTCAGGAGGGCTCAGAAAATGTTGGCTCAGTGACATTTTGCTTGACTTGAAGCTCACAAAGTCCTGTTGGGTCGACTTTCTTTGGCTTCCAACACATGTACCTTGTCGGCACAGCCGTCAACACAAACAGGATCGGCCACGCAAGGGCACGCTCCAGACACCCCTGGGAGAGGTGCCGACTCGCCGCCAACAGCAGGCAGAGCCATTCCAGCCGCCGTGCAACTTTAAAAGGCCCGTTTTTCATGAAAACCAGTGTAGTGCCATGGAAGAGCAAACCGATGGCGAGAGAGAGCTCATGCCAGGGCGAGGGAGCCGGCCCCGGCCGGTGCCAGGCACTGGAAGGACTTGGGAGCGCGGGGAGGGAATAACTGAACTTAGCAGATATATGCAGATGTTGATTTATAGGGACGCACAACCCAAACTTAAATAATGTTATGATGTGCTGTTACTTCAATAATAGATGCTAGCTAGAAAGAATGATAGATGATAGGCAGACAGACAGATGAAATATGTGAACATGTTTCTAAACAGTGTTATTTAGAGGACTCAAACTTGTGTTATAGTATCCAGCAATACCGGTGTTTGAAATCATTCTCTTAAAGAAGATTCCCATCAGTTACATGAAGCTGGCTCTCAGCAGTATTATTTCACAGAACAGACCTTGCATACATAGTATGAAATGTTTATTGGGGGCTCCCTGGTGGCGCAGGGGTTAAAGTCTCAGTGCTATCAAGCTATCACCAGCCACTGTGGCCTGAGTTCGATCCCTGGCCAGGGAGCTACTCACATGGTGCAGCAGACCTCTCCTGCAGTGTATTTCATCAGTCTGCCTGTTCTGCTCCCCTCAGCAGTGTATTTCATCAGTCTGCCTGTTCTGCTCCCCACTCTGTCTCTGGTGAATAATCCTCTCACTCCCCACACTTCTGGCCTAGACCCCAGTTCTTGTATGCATAAATAAATACAATAAATCTTTTAAAAAATAATATAGTATTGTTTCATAGCGTTCTCTAAATGAGATCCTAACAGTTACATGAACACCATCCATCCTAACAGTGAAAGTTCAGACTGGAATTTGTCTCCATAGTATAAATCATTATTAGTGTTTGATGAAGCTCTCTAAATGAGATTCGTAATAGGTACATGAGCACGGTTCTGAACAAGGTGAAAAAATAAATGACTATCCAGTTAAGCTTGAGAGAGGGCGCGAGCAGAGCACGTAACATCATTCTGCTGGCTCCAGAAGTGTGAAATCAAGCCCTTTCCTAAAATATTTCCCAGCCAGCTCAAATTTTTACATATCCAGTTGCTCTAAATGTAGTCTGTCTAAATCAGCTGATTTTTAGTCATTTAGACTCTGCCTGCTTTGCATACCCAGCAAAACTGTACTGAACATCTGTGTGTCATAAGTAAGATAATTTCAGGACTATAAGACTCCAAGAATCTGCTGCCTTTGGAGCTCGGGGCCCAGGGAGCTCCCATTGTGCTGACAAGCGCCATCACCTAGGTGCTAAGCCCACGTTGTGGGTCCCCTGGCCATGTTCCCCTTCTGGCTCGTGAGCCATTTTCTTTGTCCCTACTGGGAGAGACTCTGTCACGCGCCATCCTGTCAAAGCACTGTGGTGAGGATCCAGGCCAGTGTGGGGTGCAAGGGAAGCCCCAGGCAGGGTGCCACAGGGCCAGGCCTCTGAGCCAGGGGAGGGGCTCCCACCATTGTGGCAGCCAGCCCCTTCCACTCTCCTGTGGGATGGCATCGTGCTCCAGCTCGGCAGTCTTCATTCCTACCCAGAGATTTCTCATGCTTGGATTCTGTTGTTGGTATTGTTTTTATTAATTGCATTTTCTCTTCTGTAGTTTTCTGGGGTTCATTCTGGAAGCAGAAGGCAGCAGCCTGCACTTAGCTCTGTCGTGTCCGCAGCTACGGTAAGGTACTGAGTCTGTAAGTGAGTCACGGAAAAGCGGCACCTCACAGCACCTGTTGCCCGTGGACGGCAGGGTGCTCCGCCTGAAGGTGTGTGCTGCTCCGTTTAGTAGGGATTTTTTACCCAAATCTACCAATAACTTTGTGTACTAGTCCCCAGAAAGCCCTTGTGTGTGTGGTTGTTTTGAGACCCATGAGTTTGAAGGAGCAACGCTTTCCACGGGGTCTCATTGTTCTTTCAGGCCCAGCTCCAGCCGGTGGCAGTGGGAGATCATGGCACCAAAGCCAGGAAAGCGCCAAATCTTGAGGAGGAGCTGCGAACGCCAGCCAAGCCCCCGCGCCGTGTGGGGCCAGCTCCCTCACCCAGGCCACGTAGGTGTTGCCTTCCCATTTGAGTTTCTGTCGTAGACTTATTTTTTTGCTTAAGTTGACGTCACTGGCTTGACCTTTCTGTCATTAGAATGGCGGGGTCACAAACCCCATGTCTTAGGTCCCTCTGACTTAAGAATAACAAATGAATCAGCAAATACTTGCGAGACAGGTATTCGCCTCACACGCTCACCTCCCTGTAACAGTGACAGGAGCGAGCGCGGCCTGGCGTGTTACAGCTGAAGGGGCCAGACTGCTGACCCCGCTGGGAGGAGAGCGAAGGCCTCCCTCTTGAACGTCCCGGGGGTGGATTTAGGAAAGCACTTGCTTTTATACTTCTGGTACCCATCAGAACACCAGGCCCCCTAGAAACCTACTTGCCTGCCCATTGTGCCCTTTGTCCCCAAATCGGTCATTCCCTCCCCGCGCTCCCAAGTCCTTCCAGTGCCTGGCACCGGCCGGGGCCGGCTCCCTCGCCCTGGCATGAGCTCTCTCTCGCCATCGGTTTGCTCTTCCATGGCACTACACTGGTTTTCATGAAAAACGGGCCTTTTAAAGTTGCACGGCGGCTGGAATGGCTCTGCCTGCTGTTGGCGGCGAGTCGGCACCTCTCCCAGGGGTGTCTGGAGCGTGCCCTTGCGTGGCCGATCCTGTTTGTGTTGACGGCCGTGCCGACAAGGTACGTGTGTTGGAAGCCAAAGAAAGTCGACCCAACAGGACTTTGTGAGCTTCAAGCAAAATGTCACTGAGCCAACATTTTCTGAGCCCTCCTGAGTGCCGTGTGGGCGGCAGGCGTGCCAGCGTGCTTGTGGCCCTCGCCCCGAGGAGCTCGCGCACTAGTAGGACGTGTAGGGGGCACCAGAGTTCTTCCTCTGTGGTTCTGGAGGCTAAGCACCTTGCTTCCATTCTTCAGGTAGCTCCCAGACAGGGTGGATGAAGGCAGCTCCGAGGGTAAGGTTTGTGGGCTCCCATGTCCCAGGACATAGCTGGGGGGTAGGGCAGGGAGGGAAGCAGGGGCAACTTATATGCCAGGAAACACCCCTACTGTTTTTAAGTTGCCTTTTTATGTTTGCAATGTTCACTTGGTTGCTGCAAACCTTTGACTGTTTTCCAGAGTTCTACGTTGGCTTTGACAATTTCTCTTTGATTTTTTTTTTTGATGGTTCTATGTTTTTTTTTTTTTTTAAGATTTATTTATTATGCACACAAGAGCTGGGGTATAGGCCAAAGGTGCTGAGGGTGAGAGGATTCACCAGAGACAGAGGGGGGAACAGAACAGGTGGATTGACCAAAATACACTGCTGAGGGGAGCAGCGAAGAGACAGGAGAGGTCTGCTGTGCCATGTGGGTAGCTCCCTGGCTGGGGATCAAACTCGTGCTGCAGTGGCTATGGATTGCTTCATAGGTTGTGTCTTAACCCCTTGCGCCACCAGGGAGGCCCTTAATTTGTCTTTTTTTGGTAAGTTTCTTTGTTGAGTTTTGATAGAGTTCTTTATATAGCCTGGATCCTAGATATGTATTGTAGTTATGATTGGCATTTTCACCCAATCTGTGGCTGGTCTTTTCACTTTGATGATGTCCTTTGAAGCACAAGCATTTTAATTTTAATTAAGTCCATATTATTTTTGTCACATGTGTATTGGTGTCTGCTATGGACTGAACTGTGCCCCCCTACGCTAATTCCTACGTTGAAGTTCTACCCTCCAGTGTGATGGTACCTGGATGTGGGCCTTTGGCAGATAATTAGGGTCAGGTCAGGCCATGAGGGTTGAGCTGTCATTATGGGATTGATAACCTTATCAGGAGAGAAAGATCTTTCTCTTTCTTCTTCTCATCCTCATTCTCCCCCCTCCTCTGTGAGGACACAGAAAGCAAGCAGCCAGCTATAAGCCAGGGACAGGGGTCTCACCAAAAGCTGAACGTTGACAGATCTTGTCTTGGATTTTCATTCTCCAGAGCAATGAGAGATACATTTCTATTGTTTAAGGCACCTGGCATGTAGTCTTTTGCCATGGCAGCCAAAGCTCACTAAGACTGTGTTATTTATAATAAGTTATTGCCTGACAAGAGTTCGTGAAGATTTACTTTTGGGTTTTGGTAGCTGTCATTCATAGTTATCTATCACATTTGCATATACTTGAGTCTTGACACTCAGTAATGCTCACGGAGCGCAATAGCAGTAAAGGGACTCTGGGGTCATGGGGGTGAAAGAATTCTCCCGAGACAGTATGGAGAATAGAAAAGTATGGCAGCCCTGCTAGAGAAGCAGGGGGCAAAAGAGAGCCTGTGCAGGGAGGAGAGTTTGAAGCACACTTTATTCTCTGAACCTCTGGGCTTTCTCAGACTTAGGACACAGGCCTGTGCAGGCTGCTACCTACTGTAGTGTCAGGCCTGTGTTTTTAGAATTTACATCAGCTTTGAATGGCCACAGCTGGCTGTGAGGGCCCAGTCTCAGTAACAATCATTTGGTTCCCCTCTCTCCCAAGGTCTAGGGCTTGGTTCCCATGGCAACTCTTTAGTGCCCTGTAACTAAGAGACTGAGTTTTTAACCCTATAAACCCCCACAACTAATGAGACTGTCCTGTGGAAAACAGGTGCAGAACGAGAACGAAGCACTCCAAAGAGAGCCCTCTGGAAAAGGCTCCACTCCGCGAAGTTCTTACCGAGCCCAGCAGATGTCAGGAGCAATATCCACATCTTGTGCCTGCGTGTGATGCGTCCGGTGGTCTGCGCCGGCAGCTGACAACCTGCAGCTGGAAACAAGCAAAGACAGTTATCCCTGTGTTTGAAACAGGATGCTGCCATTGCTTCCTGTATCCAATCAGATATTGAGGTCCCCTCCCTAGATTAAGTGCCATGAAGTGGAATTTCAAAATAAAACAAGCCTGTGGCAACTAGGAGTCCTTCTTTGTCCCTCTCCCCTGTGCTAGAGCTCCAACATGCTAACATGCTCTTGACTCCCCACTGGGGCACGGGTAGGAGGGTGCCAATCTGTCAGGTATCATGGTCCTTTTGTCATGTTAAATGACGATTTCATGGACCTCTACAGGAAAGCAGCAGAGTTCTAGGAAATACATGACAGCCACCCTCTCCTCAGCACAGATCTGCTGGCACTGGTATTTTATTCAGCACAACAGCAGCTGCCAACAATCTGTGGTAGACATGGCAGTTACTATTTTAGAGCTAATTTTTCATGTCCTTAAATGGGGGAGGCAATTTCCTCAAGGTCTCCCTCTGGAGAACGCACTGTGTGGCGTCTCCCACAGCTGGCAGTGGCTGGCAAAAAGGGTTGTGTGGAGGAAAGTGTGAAGAACCCACATGTCTCAGGAGGCAGGTGCGGTCCTTGTCCTGGCTTCTGTGCACTTGAACTTTGGGTTCAATTCTATAGCTGGAGAAATGGGCTGGGGAGCCCAAAGTCGGAGCAAGTGAGTGGGAGCAGAGGACGCATCCACATGAGTAACGAAGCCCCTCCAGAGAGTGTTTCCAGTTCATCTCAAAGATAGCTCAGTCGCTGTAAATATACAAGACACACTACACCTGCGGGCCCTCCACAAGCAGAACTGATCATGTGACATCGGGGGAGGGGGCGGAGTGCTATGGAGATGCTGTTAGTTTTCACCTGTGTGTGCTGCTGTGTTGTAACTTGTGTCACACGGTGCTCACCAAAATCCACTGCGTGGTCATAGTTGTGCACTCCCGTTTCTCTCTGAGCACTGTGGGGAAGAGGTGCACTTTCTGAGTAAATAAACTTTGAACCAGTAAAGCAACTCTAACCAGTAGGCTTCCCCCGGCCCACGAGTCCCTGATAAAGTTTGCCTACTTAAAAAAATGGAAACAACCTGAAGAGGATTATGATCTGCAGGCTAGTTTCCAGGGTGTCATCTGGGGTGCTACGTAAGAGCTGGAAGGAGCACAGGAGGAATGTTTAAAATTTTGTTCACAACGGTGAACTGGTTTTTGTGGAAATCTGGGAATGCGTGTGTGGGCGTGGAACCAGACTTGCAGCTAGGTCGGCTCGACAGAAGGAAAAGCCTCGCTGGCAGGGAGGCATGGAGGCAAGCCAGAACAGCCTCCAACCAGCGTCTGTGGAAGGAGGGTGGTTTCCAAGGAAAGCTAAGCCACACATATGCATGGTCCGCGATAATGCCCTCCCCATTTCCTCGCACCTGTCCTGCTCACACTGTCAGCAACTCACACCTGGACAGATATGTCCTCTTTCTACTGACCAGTTGCTCTGCCTATGGCTGTTCCCTGGCCTCTGCCCTGCAGCTAGGGAGAGTGTCTTGGAGTGGCACGTGATCATTTCAATGGATGCCCAAAAAAGCATTCAATGAGAGTCAACATCCATTTATGATAAAAATTCTCAATAAAAATGGGAATAAACAGAACTTATCTAAACATTATAAAAGTCATTGTGACAAGTTCACAGCCAACATAATACTTAAAGGTGAAAAGCTGAAAGTATTTCCACTAAGATCAGAAACAAGGATGTTCACTGTCATCACTATTGTTCAACATAATATCAGAAGGCCTAGTCAAACCAATTAGGCAAGAAAAAGACATCCAGATTATCTAAAGAAATTTAAATTTCCTAAAATGAATCCAAACTGGAAAAGAAGTAAAACTGTCATTATTTGCAGACCACATGATAATACACAGACACTCCAAAAGGCACTATCAAAACAAACAAACCCACTGTAAGTGATAAATGATTACAGTAAAGAGGCAAAATTCAAAATCAGTACATAAAAATCAGTTGTATTTCTATGTTCAAACAGTGTATCAGAAGACAGGAAAATAAACATTTCCATTTATAAACACACCAAAAAAAGAATGAAATACCTAGGAGTAAACTTAATGAAGGAGGTGAAGTACCTATATATTGAAAAGTATAAGGCTGTTAAAGGAAGTGAAAGAAGACATAAAGAGATGGAAAGATCTACTGTGCTCATGAGTAGGAAGAATTGACATTAAAATGGCCGTGTTGCCTAAAGCAATTTACAGACAGCACAATACCTATCAAAATCCCAATGACTTTTTCAAGGAAATTAAACAAGCAATTATAAGATTGGTATGGAATCACAAAAGACTGAATAGCTAAAGCAATCCTGAGAGAAAAGAAAAAAAAGGAGGCATGACATTCCCTGACTTCAAACTATACCACAGAGCAACAGTAATCAAAACGGTGTGGTTTGGGAACAAAAACAGAAACTCAGACCAATGGAAGAGAAGAGAAAGCCCAGAGATAAACCCACAAAATAGCAACAGTTAAACTTTGACAAAGATCCCACAAACACACAATGGAGAAAAGATAGCCTCTTTAACAGTGTTGGGAAATATGGATAGCCTCATGCAAAAAAAATGAAACTAGAACCATACTTAACTCCATACACAAAAATTAGTTCAAAATGGTTTAAAGATCTGGACATAAGAACCAAAATAAAATACTTGAAACAAAAAATAGGGAATACACTTCAAGACACCTGCCACAGGGCCTCCCCGGTGGCGCAGCGGTTGAGCGCTGGGTTGCGAAGCTGCCCGCAGCCTCTGCGGCGCCGGTTTGATCCCCGGCTGCTCCCCGGCCACCGGAGGAGGGTCCCACATGGCGCGCAGACCTCTCCTGCCGCCCGCTGCTCCCCTCAGCAGTGTACTTCGGTCCTTCTGCCTGCTCTGCTCCCCACTCTGGCTCTGGTGAATTCTCTCACCCTCCCATGCTTCTGACTGTACCCAGTGCATGTAAAAAAAAAAAACAAAACAAACAAATAAAATAAATAAATAAAACATGCCTCTATAAAAAAAAAAAAAAATTTAAAAAAAAAAAAAAAAAAAAAAAGACACCTGCCACAAAGATGTTTTTAGGGACACAACTCCGCCCAGGGAAACAAAAGCAAAAATAAGCAAGTGGGACTACAGCAAACTAAAAAACTTTGTACTTGGAAAGAAACAATCACAAAAACAAAAAGGCAACCTACAGACTGAGAGAAAATATTTGCACATCACACACCTGACAAGGGCTTAATTTCCAAAATATACAGAGTACTTATAAAATCCATAACAAAAAAGACAACCCAATCAAAAAATATATACAAGACCTAAATAAACATGTTTCTAAAGGAAAAAAATCAGATGGCCTACAGACGCAAGAAAAATTGTTCAGTGTCACTTGTTTTTATAAGGGAAATGCAAATCAAAACCTCAATGAGAGTGGCCCACAGCACAAAGACTGCAAATGACAAACATGGGTGAGGATGTGGAGAACAAGGAACACTTACCCCTTGTTGGTGGGAATGCAAAATGCTATGGCCTCTGGGGAAAACAGTGTGGAGATTTTCAAAGAAAATCAAAATAGAAACCCCTTGTGATCAAGCAATACTTCTGCTAGGCATGTCAACCAAATATGCAAACTCTGATATGAAAAGAGGTATGTCCTCCTGTGTTCATGATAGCACCGTCCATGGCCAACTCATAGAACCAACCTCTGCCCATAGACACGTGACTGGAAAAACAAAGTGTGCAATAGAGACTCAGTGGAATACTGTACAGGTCATGAAAAAGATGAGATGGTGCTTTGGGGGTGAATATGGATGGGCTTAAGGTGATTATGCTTAGTGAATTAAATCAGAAAGTGAAAGCCAGATGTCAGTTGGTTTCACTTATCTATGGGATATAAATAACCAAGAAAAATACGCTGGAAAAAATACAGCAAAAACCAATTTTAGACTGAGTGTAAAATGTACTGGGTACCGGAGGGCACGGGGGAGGGAGAGGGGTGGGGGAGATATGCAGCTAGGGTGTGGGCACAGGTGGTTTGGTGGTGAGTGGCACATGCGCATATGGAGGAGCACAAATGTAACCCCCAAATTAGTATAATAAATAAAAATCAATGGCCTTTCATAAGTAAAAATGTGTTACGTTTACAAAATTAAAGTAAAATGAAAATACCTAGCAGGAAGTGAGGAAGGTGGATCACAAATGAGAATTTCTCCCAGGAATACACCTGACGTGTGGACACTCTTTTGTATGTGACTCTCCACTTGCCCAGCTGTACCTTTTTTTTTTTTTTTTTTAAGATTTACTTATTTATACAAGCACTGGGTACAGTCAGAAGTGCGGGAGGGTGAGAGAATTCACCAGAGCGGGGAACAGAACAGGCAGACTGACGAAGTACACTGCTGAGGGGAGCAGCGGGCGGCAGGAGAGGTCTGTCACGCCATGTGGGACCCTCGCTGGCAGCCGGGGATCGAACTGGCACTGCAGAGGCTGCAGGCAGCTTCACAGCCCAGCGCACAACCGCCACCGCCGCGCCACCAGGGGAGACCCATCATTTGTACCATTTTAATGATCACTTCTCCTAGAGTATTTTCAAGATTTTGCTCTAAACTTCAGTAATTCTCAATATACCCCAACATGACACTGAGTGTTCCTTTTCTCATGTTGGTATGACATGCAGCCGGCTTAAAGTGCTGATCTGTTAATTTATGATGGTTCTCCCTGCTTAACATATGACGTTTCCACCTAAAATAGAAAGCTGTTGTCTTCATGGGAAAAAATGCATAAATGAAAGAGAATAGACAAATCTCCCTATGAGAAAAATTCCACTTTAGGTAGCTACTCCAACGTTAGGAAAATGGAGCATAGCTCCCACCACAGGGAATAGACTCCCTGCTTGCAGCAGAGGAGACCCAAGGGGTCTGGACGTAGGAAATGTCCGATGAGGCCCACTCGAGCCTGCGGTCAGGGCTCTGCTCAACTCTGCCACATCTGCTCCCACGTCCCTCCCCGGCCAGCCAGGGCCCTGCACGTGGGGGGTGCTTGGTGCTCCCACTTCCCCTCCTGATGGGCTCATCCTCATCACAGCGGCATCCCTGGGACCCCACAGCCTCGACTGCAGGGGCCTTTCCAAGTCCACATTAGAGTCTGTGGGTGTCTGGAGCCTGGGGAGCAACTGCTCACTTCTGGTTTGGGGGTGCCAGGGTGTGAGCTAGCTCTGCGGGGGCGCTGAGGAGATGCCCTGTCGCACCTCTCTGCCTCCGCCTCCTCAGGCTAACCTCCCAGTCACCTTAGCCAGGACATCGGGTTCATCAAATATCTGGGCAACACGGAGGGAATTATGTGGCTGTTACTCAGAGTCGTAGACACGGGTCACACCCGCACGCGCCGTGACTGCTGTTTACCCGCCGCCAGAGGCTCCGTCACGTCCCGCCAGCTGCACCTGACCGCGACTACCTGGAAAAGCCGTGTCGGGCATGGCCAGTGGAGAGAATCGCAGGGGAACACCCGCCCCGGCTCGCAGTGTGAGCCGCCAGGAAGGGCGAGGTCCGAGGCCGAGCCCGAGCCCAAGGGCGGGTCCTGCAGAGGCCAGAGGCCAAGGAGGGGCAGCGTGGCCAGCGGGGGCTTGGGGCTCCTCCCCGGGGTGGCTGGTCCCCATGAGGGCCACCTGCGGCCCCCCGGACCATGCTGTGCTGCTGCTGGCGCCTCGCCACAGCTCGCCTCAGTGCTGAGGAGGACAGGGTGCGGCTCGGGGGGAGGGGGCAGAGGGACGAGGCCTTCCCGTGCTCAGCACCCTGGGGTGCTCTTGTTTCAAGGCCTGGCCCCAGCACCCAGGGCTTGCAGGTTTAGAACCTGGCACCTCACAAGAAGGGGGCAAGGTGAGTGACTGCAGCGGTGGGTGTGGACAGGCAGGGCTGTGTCCGCAGGGGTCACGACCCTGGAGTAAAGCCTGGCACCTGCGTGGCCCTCTGCAGACATGCCCGCCCATGAGCAGCAGGGTTTCCCCCACAGCGCAGGGCACGGGGTGGCCGCTCACCCAGGGACTCGGCTCAGTGCTCTCAGGCCCCCGGCGCAGGCCCGGGAGGGGCCGAGCTCTTCTGAGACGGGCACTGTCACGCAAGCAGAGCCTGGTGGCCGGCGGGCAGGTGCAGGAACCCGAGCAGGCTCAGCGGGGCTGGCCCGAGCGAGGCCCAGGGCGCTGGAGCCGGGAGACGCGTGCAGAGCTCGGGAGCAGCAGCCGGGCTCCCCGCCGCAGCCCGGGGCCGGGGCCTGACCAGAGCCTCTGCGCGCCCCTGCGGCGTCCCTGCCCGGGCCCACCCCTGCCCCGAAGCACCCAGCGCCTGGGCGCTCAGCCTGGGGCCCACACCCCGCACGAGCTCACCCCCGCGCTCCGCCAGAGAGCAGGTGCAGCTGCCCTCCCGCCTGCTCGCCCGCCCGCTGCAGCGAGGCTTCTCTCCTCTCGCCAGCCCGGGCCTGGCCTCGGCCTCCGGGCAGGTCGGGGAGCGAGCCCCCCGCTCGGGACGGTCAGGGGCCCTTCCTGAGCGCGAGCGGGCGGGCAGCGCTGCCCCAGGGCCCCAGGAAGGCGAGGAAACTGCCCACACTGCGCCCTGAGCTCAGAGGCCGGGGCCCCGGAGGGGGCTGGGGGGCTGGGACACGAGGGGCTTCTGCGGCGGGCGGGCCCTCCCCAGGCTCCCGGGGAGCAGCGCGGCACGCTGGTCAGCAGGCGCCGGAGCTGGGCCGGGGGCGCTGGGGAACGCCAGGGCAGGGACGCCAGAGCTCGGGCAAGTCCTGGGCCCGGCCGCAGATGCCGGCCCCGGGCAGACTCAGCTCCCGGCGGGCCCGGACTCGGCGGGAGGGTCCTGGCCGGTGAAGCCCCGACGACGGAGCCCCGCGCTGGATCTGCGTCGCCGCCCTCCGCCTGCAGCCCTGTGCCGGGGCCCTGACCAGGCGCCTGGCAGCAGCGGAGGGCCCGGGGCGGGGCGGGAAAGGAGGCGAGGTGGCGCGTCCAGGTCGGTGGCAGGCCGGGGCCGGTGGGAGCTCGCGTGGGGCTCCTGCCTCCCCCCTCCCTGGGCACGCGACGCCGACCAGCTGCTCCTTGGCCTCCCACTCTTCCTCCGCGACGCGGGGGAGCCCGTGCTGGGGCAGGCAGGGCTGCGTGGCCTGCGGGTGACCCCCGCGCGCGGCCTGGCCTCTGAAGGGCCCGCGCCCCTCCCCTCGGGAGCCTTTCCTGCCAGCCCTCCCGGCCCTCTCAGGGGACGCAGCTCCGGAGCTCCAAGTCAGTCCAGGATGCTGCCCCGGACATAACGCGCCGAGATTTCTCCTTCCCACAGGTGCTCCTGGACTTACGGGGAGGTGGGGGCGTCCCTCGCGGCGGGCATCTCACACTTCCCAGAACTTGAGGCCAGGACCAGCTCCCTCACTCCCAGCTGCTCTCCCACCCAAACCACCACTTTCCTTCACACACACACACACACACACACACACACACACGCCCCCTCTGAGCACTGCTTAGCGTTAGCTAAATCACATGCCGGGGACCGACTCAACACGCGCTGCTGTGGCGTCAGCTCCGGCTCTCCCAGGCCCGGGGAAGGGTGCGTGGCTGTGACTTCTGGGCCTCCCTCATGGCGATTCCCCGTTTCTCAGGAAGCCCGGGCAGGGGACGGGTCACAGCACCGGGCTCCTGGGCTGTGCAGCGCCTCTGGACCAGGGTGCGGGGCCCGGTCACGGCCCGCCCCGCCTGCAGATTCCCCCGCCGCCCTAAAGCAGCTGCCCGAGATTTTCTGTGGAGGTTTTGCTCCATCTCTAAGACACGGCATCTGAGAGCCTCCCCCTCCCCCCACATGGCGGCAGTCACCCCACATGAGGGCAGTCACCCGCCAGAGGACTGCAGGCCCCAAGGCCCCAAGCTGCCCCGGGAGGGGCCTTTACCCTGACTTCTCTCCCCCAGGGCCCCGCCCCTGCCCTCCTGCCTCTGTCTCTTGGGGGACGTCTCACCACCCTGCTCCTGTGACAGCGGCTCCCACACCTGCCTCTGTGGTGTGGAGTGCGCCTCGTGTCCCCACAGGACCGTCCATGTTCCTAGTGATTCCAAGGGGCAGAGGCTCTGGGCCCGCATGGGCAGGACTGGCCACGAGCAGGGGCTTCTTTACGACGTTCATCTCTCCCTCTTGAATGACCCGAGCAAAGCACAGACCTATCTACACTTTAATTTTATAGAATGACACAGAAGAGATAGGATGCCAAGAATTTGGTATGGTTCAATTTTATTTCTCTGTTTTGACTCTGTCCATTTTCCTGTTAAGTTCTTTTACACAGGCAAGAAAGTTCTTATTTCAGTTAAGAGTGATCGAGGATTGCATCACAAACTAAGATGGAACACCAATTCTTTCACAAAATAGCAGAACTCTTCCCCTTGGACTAGGTAATTACAAACAAGTGTGATCAATGTTAATTCACAAATATAGATGATAAATTTCATAAATATTTTAAAGAAGCATTGTAAAAATTTCTAAAGAATTATCAGTTCTTAAGTCTCCACAGAGAATAATTTTTACACCCTGTTCCATAACTCCCTGCCCTCCCCCCTGATCCCTGGCTGCTCTCTTCAGGCTGGCTCAGGGTTCATTTCTCCCACGGCCCATAGCCGCTTCAGAGAAAGCAAGGAAGCAACTAGCATTCAAGCTATGGATCTTGAGGAATCGATCCAAGACTTCCATCATGCTTGTCTCGGCATGAGCTCTGGGGCCCCACAGAAAAACGTAACGGGCCGGATAGGTGTGGGGAACCTGTCGGTATTCAAGATATTGCTCCTGCACCCAAACTTGGGTGAGGAGCTGACGAGGCTCCCCATATATGAAGTGCTCACTGCCGGCGCATATTCCTATTGCCTCAAGAGCCTCCCACATATGCTCCTCAGATGTGCAGTATCCCTCAAGGAGGATCACGCCTAGGACGATCACCAGCAGACCTGTCTTGGGCATGATCTCCTCGGGGCTCATCAGCCCATCATAGGTGAGGCCCAGAGTGGTGGCCAGCATGTAAGATTGGCTGCTTGGGTCAGCTTCGTTCACATCAAGGCCAAAGACCAGTTGCACACACTCGCAAGCATTGCTAAATATTACGGGGAAGTGCTCCTGGTCGTTGCTGAGCACTTCAATCAGCATCTCGGCCTTGTTTGTTGTTTCTTTGCTGCGATATTTCAGGAGCAAGAACCACACTAAGTCAGCCATTTTCTCATGCAGTGCGTCTTCGTGGGAGGCCTGGGCTCTCGCTGGCTCCTGTGAGACACCTGGCCCGACCTCGACCAGGCTCCTGGCATTTTCCTGGGATTGGCTTCCCAGAGGCTCAGCCAGAGCCCTGGGGTGGGCTCTGGGAGTGGCTCGGAGAGCAATGAGAGGCCAGGAAGCAGCCGCCCCCTCGGGGTAGTCCTCTAACAGGAGAGGCGGGGAGCGGGAGCCAGAGGAAGAGGAGGAGGAGGTGGAAGTGCCCTCCTCCTCTTCCTCCTCAGCCCAGGGCAGCTGAAGGGGATGTTCATCCTCCAGGTCAAAGGACTCTCTTGGCTCCTGACGGTCTTCCTGATGCTTGCAGAGCTCATCCACCTGATCCATGGGCATGATGGCACCTGTTGGGTAATTGTTAGGAGTGTGGGCAGGTGACCCAAGGGACCCACAGGGCCTGTGGGGACAGAGGAAGGGAGAGGTCTGAGCTGAAAATCACACCCTTGACAGTGCTGACAATGGTGACTTACAGTCTCTTACATGCACTGAGAGGTGCTCTGGGGCCTCACACGCTGTCCTCCTGAGGGGTGTCCCCCAAGAACCTGAAAGAGAAAGTGAGATGATTCTTTAGGGAGCAGGTGATATAACCCTGAGGTTCTGGGCTGACTCGGGGGGTCACGAACTGTGGGCTCCCTTTTTTTTGGAGTCACAGGTTCTTTCTGTGCTCATTCAGCATCCTCACCTTTCCCCTGTTACCCCTCTGAGGTCCTGAGGTAAAACCCTTAGAACTGCACAAATATCTGAGGTGGAACAGAAGCAACAAGGGCCCCATATCTGGCCACACCTGCCCTGGGCCTCCAGGGTCCTAAATGGGGGAATGCTAGTGCCTCACCTGGAGCCCCGCCAGGGCCTGGGATCCCTCAGCTGACCTGAGTCCAGATCCTCAGACCAAGGCCCTTCCCTCCTGACCTCGGATCTAGAAGCGAGGAGGGAACCAGCCTGATAGCCTTGCCCCACGTTTCCATGGCTGACAGCAAGGGCAGTCCAAATTTCCCTGGACCCCCACCTTGGCCTGGAATTTGAAACACAGTCACTCCTTCCTCATGGCCCTCACTTGGACTTTTGGCAGGACTTGAGACTCCTGTCTCAGGTGACAAGATGTAGCTCCCCTGATGACCTGACGCTGTCCTCTCAGACAACATAATATGCTCCCTGAGACCATGAAAGGAACATGAGGAGGCACCACATCCCCACCCTCACCCTACCCATGACCAGAAGAGACTGTCAGGATGCAGCCCCTCTGTTCTGAGGTGGGGCGTCCTCAGTCCTGCTGTGGGTTAGTCATCTTTACTCCCATCAGGCCTGCCCTGCCTCCGGCCCCCATCTGGAATGACTTGATGCCCCCCCAAAGCAAGACCTCACCCCCTGAGGCCTCCCCACCTTCCCTCCCATGGTCTATGCGAGCCTGCACTCGGACAACCGCCTCTGGGTCCTTCCAGGCTGAGACAGGCCACAGCTGGACTCTGCGTGCGCCCTCCCTCTCTGGGGTGCATGGTACCTCCCACTGCACCAAGGGGCTGTCCTCCTGAGGGGCCTCCCCTCCTCCCTCTGCCGACCTGAGGCCACACTTCACACGCCAAGGCCCCCTGACCACCAGCCCCCGCCCTCCCACATACACACCCTGCTCACCTGCCCTAGGGCCTCCCAGACCAAGAACAGGGGCAAAGGGGCTCTCTCTGTTGTAAGACCTCAGTCCTCACTCACTCTGGGTCCCACCTCCACTCCCCATAGGCCTACTGCCTCCCCTCTGCTGCCCCAAGTCCTTGTCCCTCAGCACCCCCCCCCACCAGCCCTCCTTGAGATTTCCAGGGGGTGCTCAGAAGCCCCATTGGAGAGTAGCTCCAGGGCCTCCCAGTGCTGACACTGTTCGGGTCCTCTGTCCCTCAGTCCTCGCTGGGGTCCTCACCTTGACTTAGGAAGGACCTGACACCTCTCTGTGCTGACCAAAGGCTCCTTATTCCAGGTGCCCAGTCTCTCTCAGACAGACCTGGATGCAGAAGTCAGGATGCCAGGTATGACATCACTGGTAGACCTTTGTGAAGTCTCTCAGTTCTAGGTTCCAAGGCCCTCCCTCATGTCCTCATCTTCCTCCAAGTGAAGTTTTTGCCCCTCCCTGCCCCCAACTCTGTTGATCTGAGTCCCCTCTCCTTATACCAGGTTCCCAGTCCCTCTTAGTCCCAAATGTAGAAGTTAGAAAACACCACAAGTGGTCATTCTGCCTTGAGTTCTGCCATGACTGACAGTAGGGGCAGGATCTGTGGTCCTGGGTACCTCAATCCTCCCTCAGGATCCTCACATTGACTCTACACAGGACCTGGTCTCCTATATACCCCTTCTGCTGACCAGATTCCCCCACTCCTACCAAGTCCCCAGTATCTCTCAGATCAGAAGTCAGGACTATAACTGGACACTCCAGAACTGACCACAGGGTTGGGAGTTTGTGGGGTATCCGTGGTTCTCAGGTCTATGGTCCTCAATCTTCCTTCAAAGTCCTCAGACCAAGGCTTTGACTCCCTAAGTTTTCTGAGGAGGTGGGTGTTATTGTCACCATGGCAACCCTAATGGGTTCCTCAAGTATTATATGGGGAACATCTGTGGTTCCCCTCTGCCCTTTGTTGGTCTTCACAGGACTCAAATAAGTTTGGGCTCTCCCTTACCTACCTGAAGCTGCCTCCTAGACCAGGGTGCTCACATCTCATCTCACAGACATCCAAGGAGGAAGTTAGTGGGTGTTACATCTGCACAACACATGAGAGTCCCCCCAGGACAGTCACCAGTGTTGGAGATGGGATCCCTGGGGTCTACTCAGTTCTCCCTCAGGGTCCTAATAAGATTCGGTCAGGGCTGGTCCCCAAAGTCTGCCCACCTGCGTCCCGCAGACCAAGGCTCTGACTCTCAGAGCTGAGGATGGGGGAGGTGGGATGGGGAATGCGCACCCCGACCACGCCGTCCGGGTACCTCAGGTACTTAACGTGGCGGTTATCTGTCCTCCCTGTAGTCCTCACCTTGACTGAGTCAGGATAGGGCTATTTCTCTCTCTCTGCCTATTGACCCTCGCCTCTCAGACCAAGGCCGTCAAATCGCTGAGCGGAAGTTAGTGGACGTCACATCCGCTGCAGAACTACTGGGCCCCCCAGGGCTGCCAGCAGGGGCGGAAGTTGGTTCCGTTGGACTTCTCTGTCCTCCTTCAGCCAGGGCCAAGCCTGCCCTCTGTCACCTGAGTGTGCACCTGTGAAACCAAAACTCTGACTCCTAAAGTTCCCTGAAGCGGTGCGGGGTGGGGGAGCAGCGGGGGTTTGAGTATCACCCTGAGCATCCTTCCCTGGGGCCCTCAGAAATTTATCTGGTGGAGCCGGGTTTTGTGGGTTTCCCCTCTTCTGATGATGTAATAACTTCTCGGTAGTCACTCAGTCCTCACTCCCTCGCCAGCCCCGCAGAGAGCGGCTGCGTCCCAGGACAGGTGCTGGGTGGGAGCTGCCATGCCGGGACGGTGGGTGCAGTCAGAGCAGGAGCCCACCTCCCGGGGGGCTCCTCCCCAGGTGACTCCCCGGCTTTGGACGCCTGGTGTCCCCACAGTGATTATCACTCAAGAGGTGCGCAGCGGGGCTGGGAGGCCGCGCTTCTGAGGGGACCTGATAATGCGCCATGGCGGACCGTGAGGTTCACTTTCTGGCGCCTTCCACATCTCCACCTAGTGTGTGCTCAGAGTGCACATGGAGACGCCACAACCTGTCTTGGCAGTATTTCTGAAATGACCCTAAAATTAAATCCAAAACGACCCTAAAATTAAAAGTTCGTTTTAAAAAGGCACTGTAAAGAGTAAGGGAGAAACCCAGAGATGGGAGAAATATTTGACCTCCGGTATCTGATAAAGGACGCCCGTCCCAAATGAGGAAAGCACTTTGGCAAAAATGTGGAAACACAATGAAAGTAGGTCACCTGCTCATGTGCCCTAGCACCTCCCAGAACCAGCACAGGGGCAAAGGGTCTTGTTTTAAGGTCTTATGCCCTCAGTCCTCACTCACTCTGGGTCCCACCCCCAATCCTGACAGGGCCTAGTGCTTTTCTAACTGCCCTGTATCGTTGTCCCTCAGACCCACCTGACATTCCTTGAGTTTTCTGGGGCATTTCAGGAGAAGCCTCATTGGAGTGTAGCTCCAAGGTCAACCTCAGGTTCCTCACTTTAACTCAGGGAGGCCCTGGAAACTTTCTCTGCCAACCTGAGGCTCTTCATACCAAGTCTGCAGTGACTCTCAGATCAGAACGCTGGGAGGCCATGGGGTCAACACTCCTCTCTAACAAGAAAGGCAGGCTGTCGTGGGTTCCCTCTGTCCTGGAGTTCATTGTCTTCAACCCTCCCTCAGGATGTACACCTTGACAGAGGAAGCATCTGGCCTTACCTCCTTCTGTAGACCTGATTTTGCTACCCTTAGAGCCAGTCCCTGCCTCTGGAGTCCCACATGAAGGAAGTGGGTCCCTTCAACACTCTCTCAGAGTCTTCACCTTGAATGCAGGTGAAATCTATGCTCCTTCCTCAGCAACTAGAGGCTCTGCTCCTTATACTGAGTCCATAATCTCTCTGAGACCCAGACGGGGGAGTTCAGGTGCCATACAGCCTTCCCTGCACTCTAACAGCAGCAGGGTCCTCTCTGTTCCTGATTCCACTATCCTTGGTCCTCCCTCATGGTCCTCACCTTGACTTCAGTCAGTGTATAGCCCCACCTTTCTCGGGGGACCTGACTAGGCCAGCCTACACCCTGTGCTTACACCCAGATGCCCTGGAAAGGCAGCAGGGGCCATCTGTCCTCCCTCGAGATCCTCATCTGTTCTAGGCAGAGCTTGGGATCTTTTCCTCTGACCACCTGAATCTGCCTCTCACACTGAGGACCTCACTTCTCCAGACTACAGAGATTGATGTCAGTGGATCTCACACCCATCACCATGTCCTGTGGTCCCCCAGAACTGTCATTTGGTTTAGAACTGGATTCTTTGAATACAATGGGGAAAGTGTACTCTTTAGCCCTCTCTCCCGATGCCTTCATCTTGGCTCTTGACTCTTTCATTAAATGTTGGTTGGTAGGGCCTCCCTGGTGGCGCAACGGTTAAGTGCTGGGTTGCGAAGCTGTCCGCAGCCTCTGTAGCACCGGTTCGATCCCTGGCTGCCGGGTCAAGGTCCCACATGGTGTGCAGACCTCTCCTGCTGCCCGCTGCTCCTCTCAGCAGTGTACTTCATCACTCTGCCTGTTCTACTCTCCACTCTGACTCTGGTGAATTCTCTCACCCTCCCGTGCTTCTGACTGTACCCAGTGCTTGTATAAATAAATAAATAAATCTTTAAAAAAAAAATGTTGGTTGGTATAGGCCTCCTGTCACCTCTGCCCATTTGATCAGCTAAAACCCTATAATAATACTGTTTTCTATAATGGCTGTACCAATTTACATTCCCACTCACAGTGCACAAGAGGTCCCTTTTCTCCACATCCTCACCAGCCAACACTTTCGTCTCTTGTACTTTTGATGATAGCCCTTCCATCAGGTATGAGGTGCTCTCTCATTGTGATTTTCATCTGCATTTCCCTGATAATGATGGAAATTGAGCACCTTTTCACGTTGGCTTATATGTTTATTTAGTTCCTCTGCTTATTTCTAAATGTGATTTGAGAAGTATTGGTAATGTTGAATAGAGATTATCTGCAAAACCACCTGGTCCAGAGTGTTTCTTTGTTGGATGGTTTTATTACTGGTATTACCAATCTCCTTACTTGTTGTTGGTCTAGTTTCTAGAAACTTAACAATTTCTTATAATTGCTAGGTGTATAAACATTCATAATAGCCTTATATGATCCTTTGTATTTCTATGTTATCAATTGTAATATGTCTTCTCTCATTTCTGATTTTATTTATTTGAATATTTTTCTTAGTCTAGAAAAAGTTTTGTTCATTTTTATTTATTTTTTAAAACCTCTTCTTTTTTTTTAGATTTATTTATTTATTTATACAAGAACCGGGGTACAGACCAGATGTGCGGGAGGGTAAGAGGATTCACCAGAGACAGAGCGGGGAACAGAACAGGCAGACTGATGAAATACACTGCTGAGGGGAGCAGCGGGAGAGACAGGCGAGGTCTACTGCGCCATGTGGGATTCTCGCTGCCCGGCCGGGATCGAACTGATGCTGCAGAGGCCTGGATAACTTCACAGCGATGTGCTCAACCCCCTGTGCCACCAGGGAGGCCCTAAAACCTCTTCTTAGTGCTGTTGATCTTTCCTGTTTTTCGGCTATTTCATTTATTCTCTAACCTTTATTGTTTTCTTCCTTCTGCTACTGTTGGGTATAATTTGTTCTTTTTCTAGTTCTTTGAGGTGTAAAGTTAGGTTATTTCAGATTTTTCTTTTTTTCTTAATGTAGGTGTTTACCTCCACAAACATTCCTCTTAGAACTGCATTTACAACATCCCATATGTTCGAGTATGCTGTGCTTCCATTTTTGTTTATTTCAAGAATTTTAAAACTCATATTTCCTTTTGATTTCTTCTTTTACTTGTTGTTGGATAAGAACATTAAGTAACTATGCGTAATGGACAACTACAGGACCCAACACCCCAAACCAGAGGAATTCATATCCTTACCAAGTACACATGAAAGCTCTCCAGGATAGAAACTATGTAAGGTCACAAAACAAATGCCAATAACTTTAAAGAAATTGTAATTGCATGAAGTATTTTCTGTGTCTACAATGGAATGAAATAAGAAATCAGTAACAGATAAATTTTAGAAATTCATAAATTTGTTGAAATTAAAGATCATACTCTTAAACAATGAATAAATGAAAGAATTCATAAAAGAAATGATAAAACACTTCAAATAAATGAAAATTAAAATATATGTACACATGTGTACATGCAAGTATGCATAAACACAAGATTATTAATAACAAGGCTCACTTGTACTAGCCTGAATTGTTGATTGCAAAGTTTTAGAAATACATGGTAATGCCCCTATTTTGCTACTTCCCACAAACATATATACTGTTCACTTAACCAAACCCCACTGATTTATAAGTCATGCAAAGATGTATCTCTTCTGAGCTTATGGCTACACATATCTAAACTAAACTAGATACAACACCTTAGAGACTCTACCTGTGTCTGAACAGACTAAGTCAAACACAGAAAATAATTACCTCAAAATTTGAACATTCTTGCCACTTGGGGATAGGTGATTAGGTTTCCTTCTGAGGTACGGAAATCAGTCCTTTTATATGTGTGCTCATAAGGCTAAGCCATAGATTATAAGGCAGTCAGGACAACCGAATCAGTGATTACAAGATCCTCTCAAGAAAGAACTTGCTGCCCAACTTCAAAGAGTAGAATTAATCAATAGTCACAATTAGTTCTTTGCAGCCACTGTCACAATTTTCTAGGGGTGACCACTAGTCAATAACAGGCAGTGCAGTTGTGCTCAAAGCCACATCTCAGGGAGGTCATTGGCCAATGACTCAACAGGTTGGGAGTACAATGGCTTAAAATGGCCACAAAAATGATCCTTCTAACAGGCAATCTTTACTTCAGAGCTCATCATTGGACTAGTAGAGATTCTGTGATCTTTACCTAAAAGATGAGAGGGAGAAATTGGGAATTCTATTTTCAGGTTCTTTCTTCCACAAAATGTGAAGCAATATACTATTGGAAGGCAGGCTGTGATGAATTAACCATTACATTGTACACTGTAGGATACCTACAAAATAATTTAGAAAAGTGGATGTACAACAAGCCAACAACAAAGATAAAAATGGAATAGTAAAAAAATATTCAGTGCCAACCAATATGAGTAGAAAAAGAAGAAAAAGGGGAAAATTAATACATAGGACAAATAGAAAATTAATAGATAGATGGTAGTTTTTATTCCAGCGATTCAGTAATTTTGTTAAATATGAGGGATTTAACTGTTAAATATGAGGGATCTAACAATACCAGTTCAATGGCAGAAATTTTCAGATTGAGTGATAAAGCAGAAACAAACTAGACACTATACACAAGATACCTACATTAAATATGAAGAAATAGATATGGTAAAAATAAATGATTGAGAAAATATACATGCTAAGCCTGATT